ACCTGCATGGACGATGAGAAGAGGTGGATGGGTGTCTGTGGCGGGAGGTTGCGATGGCCTGAGTCAAGACACCCACCCACTTACACACGGAAGGGACTGATAGATCGTTGATGGGCTCTGCATTTACAATGGATTCCCCAAATATGAGGTTGACATTTTTTAGTTGCATGATGCTTGCCGCGCAATGCGAATATGCGCATTGCCAGTACGGAACTCTGGAAATTGGGTGTCACAGCAAGGACTCTTCCTTTCCTTCTCACAGCGGGGTGAGACGTTGCGCAAATCTTCGCACCGCGGGGTGATTTCTGCCTGGACCGAGAGGACGCAGTTGGAGTCACGACTCGTTTGACAGCTTCTCAAGCAGATGTACAACATCGCCAAGACCAACGGATCCTTTGTGGAAGAAGAATGACAGGAAGACCCTACGGATTGCGGTCGCGCTTGCGGGGACAAGAACAGGCAACGCCAGGCAGTCCCGCCCGGTCGGCACGGGCTTTCGGGGGAAGAAGCAGCAGTTCACGGGTCATCCCTGTTGGCTAAGGGGGGTTCTTGGAGACGGCGGGACGGGTCGCTGGGGTGTTTTGGTGTGGGAACGAGTCACCGAGTGACATTTGCACACCTTGTCACCGAAGGCGCCGATGTCGGTGTATTTCGGTCAAGTGTCTGCCGGCGGGGTAGTGGCCGATGGCGGGGTTAATCATGTGTTTACGCTTGTTTATGACCAGATCGTTGCTCTTTGTCTCTTGCTTCGCTTTCCATGCTTCTATGGGATATGAATTCGTCTACGATGAGCAGAATCTCGCGAAACCTGTTACAAAGTTGAAAAAGTTGCACTTTCGGAGATTGAGGCCATTTCGCCTACCTGCCAATTACCCCACCTACGTACTCCGTGCCACCATCTCTGTTCCTACGGGCTTGGTAGGGGAGTGGGGTCATTCACCTGTCCACCAACCAGAGACTAAAGATTGGTTTTTGACTTGTGTCCTTCGTTCCGTTCCCGTAGGGAGTCATTGCGGCGTGGGAAAGGCGAAGCTTCCGAGCCAAGTGGTGACACATTCTGGCGGTGAAGAAAGGGTTTTGTGGTGGTGTGCTCGGTGTTGATCGCCTGGTTTTTGAGGATCTGGTAGACGATGCAGGGTACCTATTTTCTGTGACTTTTTTGGGACGTATTTTTCGATTTAGATGTACGGAGTAGAGTGAGCCCGAATAGGGAATGCGCATTTTTTTTACACCGAATACGGAGCTGCCTTTCTAGGTACTGCGGTCTTAGGATCATCATGACCAGACCACCATCTATCCAATATTTAGCGATCGAATGTTGTCCTTCGGTACTTACTGGCCCTTGAAGACCGGGGATACTGTATTCAACAGCGGAACTCAATACAAAGCTATCTTAGGTCATTGAAAAAATACACTACCCTGGATTTACAACAGAACTCCCTCTGGGCGGAGACAGAATGCCGACTAGGTGTAACATGCAGCATCAGAGATACTAAAGCTAACATGTATAATCAGGACAGATAGTGATCCGAACGGCCACTTGCTGAATCTACTAGAGTTACGATTCATCTACAACAATGGAGCACCTCGATGCTACAGTTCTAACCCCGATTCAAGAGTACCAGTCTCCCTCATCATCGTCAATTGACTCCCCCATGTCAGACTTGTGCAGCAACTCCTGAACCGTCCATAGCTTGAAGGGAAACCCGGGCACTGTGTTGGTATTCTTGAACTCCTTCCCATGGAGTAGATGCGCTGCGCAAGCTTCGTAATTGTCGTACGCATATTGTTCGGGATCATGCTTCAACAGCCACGATCCTGTAAACTTCGCGATGCTGCGGGGGTTCTTCGCAGCTTCATCCCAGTTGGTGTGATGGAAGACCTCTCTGGACTCGAAACCAATCTTCTGGGCGCAAGCGGTTCTCTCGAAACTAGATACAGCCGTCTCATAATCAGTAAAATGACCACATATACCAATGTTATTGATGTATGGCGTGAGGAAGAAGACAGCTTACCGGAGTTTGTTGTGCACCTTGGTTGCCAAAGCAGCAGACACCTTGCCGCTCTTCTTGAGACAAGCAGCAAGAGAAAAGGCATCTTCCAGAGCAGTAGTAGCGCCGAACCCAGAAGAAGGCAGGAACGAGTGCGCCGAGTCGCCGCATTGCACCACTCGCCCTCCGTCCGACACCCACTTCGGCTGGGGATCACGGAAACGCAGCTTCCAGTCGGTAGCCTGGTTATTGGGTGTCGACTTGATGACCTCGTGCACGATAGGCGCCCATCCCTCGACGTACTTGAACGCGCCAGTCGAGTCGGCGATACGGTTCCAGTCTTCCACGGCAGCGTCTTCGTCTCTGTGCGTCAGGCCCCAGCAGAACTCGGTCGGCGACAAGCCGGTAAAGAAGTGTGCGCCGGGACCAATGTGGAGGGACGTCCACTCCCGCTTATCCTTGAAGAACTCTGCAATAGCAGGTACTTTGAGCGCCTCTTCGGCTCGGTAGCTAGCTCTGTACAGGGCAAAGCCGGAGCTGATGGGCTTCTCCTTGGTGCCGGTCACGATGCCCCAGGACTTGGATCCTACGCCGTCTGCTGCCACGACGATATCGGCGGTGAGTTTGCTCCCGTCGGCGAGGACCACGCCACCGAGCTCCTTGGTCTCGAAGAAATCCTCAACCTCTTTGCCTGTTTCGATGGGGATGCCAAGTTCGGTGGCGTAAGTCAGGAGGAGGAGGTAAAACTCGCGTCGGCTGACGGAGATCGTGGGGAGATGGGGGTTTCCGAGCTTGGTTCTGAACAACTTCTCGCCACTGAATTTGAAGAATTGGAACTCGGCCGAGATGGCGCTCTTGTTTAGCCTCTCCATGAACCCGGGCCATTTCGAGGGCGTGTGCAGTCCGGGAGACTGGATGAAGAAGATTTCACCTGCGGATCAAAGTAGGTGTTTGGTCAGAATATTGTCTTTGGAAAGTGAGCGAATAGGTAATGCTTACCATAATCTCCCGGGTCTATGCGCTTCTCCAGAACCTTGACGCTATGTCCCTGGCGATGAGACTCGATGGCGAAAGCCAGACCAGCAATTCCGGCGCCGACAACCAAAATCGAGATGCCTGTATCAGGAAGACGTTCCATGATGTTGGGAAATGCTCTTTTTGTCGAATGAACCAGGTTTTCGCGGCCAATAGGTGCTATGCAAGTAACTTCAATCGAGTTGAAAGAACCAGAGAACTGTGCGTTGATGCAGAGATGAAGGAGCAGTCTCTGTTCATGCTAAAAGTAGTTCATCTTGAGGTGATTGAATCATCACCCTGTCTTAGCAGAACGGCGGTCGAAAAGTCCGCGCCTTGAGACATGAAGTTTCGGACATTAACGAAATTTCAATTAGGCCGAATGTCGATGCTGAAGAATAGGAGGAAACAGATTTAACCCAGCCCCTCGATAAGATCGTGTTACATCTAACCCCACGTAGTCTGAATTGTCCCGCGTCTGTAGAGCTAGAAGTAAGACTACTTACTCGCTACTGGCCCAATCAGCTGTAGTGTGCGAGTAATTGGATTAGAGATAAAGTCGGTATTCGGGGCTGTTGTCCTTCCGTGACCCGTTCAAAACTCTCCGTAGTTTTCGTATGGATTGCCGACTAGCCTTTTGATTTCGTAGTAGACGTATGCTCGCGTTTCGTCGTTATAGAGGGCCGCTGAGTCAGCTCGCGATTCACCGGCGGTAGATCGTACGACTCCTAGTCGTTACACTAGACGAACACCTAATTCTTAGGGGTCAGGCTCCAGGAGCGGATGTCGGCAGGGGCGTCATACAGAAGCCCTAAACTTAGAATTAATTCGCTCGGTCGTTTTGTCAAGTTAGGAAAGCTAACCCATTCAAATGGTGTGCCCTCGGGGTTTACCACCTCAGTCAGGTAGGAATGTGCGTATATCGTCTTCTCCACGATACGCGCCTTCTTAGAATCATAGTAGCCCCTTAGTGTTGACGTTGAGAACTATGTTATTTCATGGAACGCATCAGCGCGTAAGGATAAATGGATGACGAAGATCGGTGCTGCTCGAAGACCGATGTCCGGGATTGACTCTGTCTCTCCTCAACAGCTTGAGTCACCTTCCGATAGGTGTCCCCGTAGAGTCGGCTTTTGATCTTCAATCGCTTTATACTGCCCATTTACTATGACTCGCGGACATGAGTGGAGTTGCGTCCTTGATGGGTGCGATTTCCCGCTCTTACAACCTCTATTGTCTGCTGCCCGACAGCCCGGTTGGCGTTTGTTCATCTCGATTGTATTCCTCTCAGCATCTCTCCCAAAGCTTTGTTATAAGGCATACCCATATAAACCCCTAGTCGGCTCTCAAAACCCATTGAGACCTTTCTAGAAGTAGAACGCTTCTCGGTCATCAAGCAACGCTATACCTGAAATAGCTCGAGGGTGACAGAGACCCTCGAGTTATTGATTGATTCCATGCTCTTCACGGGCAAATGACCTCGAACACCTTGCGTATTTCACCCTGTTGGGCTTTGGTTATCGCTGTTGAACAGAAAAGTCGTCTAAAGTCGTTAATAAAATATCCGTCAGCCAAGGCAAATGCGTGGGTTGAGGAAGTTGCCCAAATTGGATTTCTCTCAAAACCTACATGCAGACTGAGGCGAAGGCTCTCAATTTTCCTTGCGGAAGAGAGTAAATTCCTGTCTGTATCTCTCGCTTACCCAAATTTGCGGCACTGGTGGTCCTGAACCATATGCTGCTCCGTGGCGTAGTAATATTGGAAGCCCCTTGCCCGGTCACCTGATCGACTGAAGAGTCCTTTATTGGCAGAAAATTGATATTTTGGCTGCGAGCATATGCAAGCTGTACTTGGCCGACATGAACCCGGGCTGAGAAGCGTTGGGTTTGATGTACATAAACCAAGTTTCCCATGCGGGGAACATATCACATCGTAATTAACGGATTCAAACACGCCGAAAGGACCCTGGGTTCGCTCCAGATAGAATCTTAGAACATGGGACTCAAAGATGTCAACTGCGTGTTGGCGCCACTCATCAGTCTGAGAGGTCGTGAGAACACAGTTGGCGTAAGCGGCTTTCTTCTGGGGGGTGGTAAGTCATAAGACTCCGAATCTACCAGTATGCGATCCTAATTGGTTCATTACAGGCTTTTCTTGGTTTTCTGGCGAAGTTGGTTTCGCTGCAGATAATGTGGCCGAGTATGAGGTAGAACCAAATATCTCACCCCTGCTTTGGGCAGTACGCGTAGTGGACGCTTACCAAATGTTTTTCAGGTCGTTTTAGCCAGCGGCAATGTTATCAGAGCTAGTCAACACGTGAACTCTGACTTGCTCAAAGCTCTCAAGGGCGGAGCGTGTAACTTTGGCCTGGTCGCCAAATTCGTGCTCAAAACCTTTCCCTCTCGCAACCTCTATGGCGGGGTCATGGTATTCCCTTGGGCACAGAAGAATGCCATCGTTCAGAAGTTTGTGGAGATGATTGACGGCAACACCAACGGGCACCCCGAAGATACTGGGTTCGCAGCTGCTGCGTGGAGTCTAAGTGGTGGGAAGAGAATGTCTTTCGTTGTTGCTAACATTGAGGGGCAATCCAACTCAACGGCTTTCGCGGGACTTGAAGTTCTGTCTCCCGTGGTCGACGTGCGGGCAAACCTCCCAGTGACCAGCATTGCTGCCCAAATCACATCGCCGAGTGGCGGGTACCAGGTTTGAAGCACTCTGACTTTTCACAATACACTTGGCATGGGCCGCAAGATTCTATCATCATTCGACGCCGTTATTGAAGATATTCAGGACCAGGACCAGGTCCAGGATGGCAACGACTTCAGAAACGTCTACCTCCTAACGCCGTTTCCGACCCTGTTCTCAAACTACGGCGACAATGTTCTTGGTCTTGACGAAATCCACAAGAAGAACTCTATTGTTTTCAGCATCCAAGGAATTTTCCCTAACATGAAATATGTTGGGCTATTGAGACAGAGGCTGAAAGAAGCGACTGCAGACATCGAGGCTTATGCTAGAGCTACTGGCCAACTGATCCCCTATCTATATCTCAACTACGCGGGTCAAGATCAGAAACCATTGGCGACGTATGGTGAAGAAAACTTTCGGTTCCTGAAAAGAGTTGCGGAGAAGTACGATCCCGGACAGTTCTTTCAGTACAGCGTGCCGGGAGGATTTAAAATTAAGGATGTATGAGGGCTTACGGCATCGGGACTATCACAACCTGCCGTATGATTTAAGAAAGTAGTGTTGTGATGTGGGCACATGAATTTGGCGAAGAGATCTCGTTTGAGGGCTTTCGGAAGTTTTATTGTCATCAGTTGCCAGTTACCGGATGGATTTAGGCGTTGATTTAGTAATAGGTGTCGCTCTACAGCTGGGCACTTGCATTCGGGCCCGTCAACTGACCTTGTCGGTCAAAGAAGAGCTTCTGACCAGTCCTCAAGCTTTCCTGTAGGCCTGAGGCGATCCTCAGTGACGTAAGAGCCGATCTGAGTGGGATTGGCAGTGGCTTGTCGTCCAAAATAGCATCAACGAACGCATTCGCTTCCACAACGAATGCCGAGATGAATCTATCGTACCAAGAGCTCGTCGGTTCAATCTTGACATAGCCATCAGTGTCGCAAATCTCTACTCGATTCTTTCGCGGCATAGCATTGACTGTCAATTTGCCTGTCGTACCGAATATCTCAGTGACGCTGTCATAACCGTGCGATGAGCTTCTCGAGTGGTAGAAGTGAGCCATCTTTCCGTCCCAGAACTCGCACACCCCGATCGCGTTGTCCGCATCGCCAGTCTTTTCAAGATCTGGGAAGAAGGAGGTTGTTCCAATGGCAGAGACAGATTTGGGGACGGAACCCTCGCCCAAGAACATTAGTGACAGGTCAATTTCGTGAATGGCGCAGTCAAAGTAGATGCCACCAGAGTCCCTGAGGTACTGATGAAAGAACGGACTCTGGTCAAGCTTCTCACAGCCATGAGATCTGAAAACGAACGGCTTGCCAATGGCACCTGATTTGACTTTGTCGTGCGCATCCTGGTAGCTGTCGTCAAAACGGCGGGCGAACGCGACCATGGCTTTAGTCTCTGGCTTTGCTTCCACATGCTCGCAGAGGGTCTCAAGCTAATGAGAAAGCGTCAGCACAAATGGAGAAGGAGACAATAATGACAACGTAAGGTACCTCTGAGATAGACTTGCAGATAGGTTTCTCGCATAGAACATGAATCCCCTTATCGAACGCAGCCAGTGTCTGTGAGAAATGTAGCTCGGTAATAGAGGAGATGATGACAGCCTCAAGCCCTGGCGTCTCCATCATCTCTTCGAAAGTGGGATAAGTCTTGACACCATGCGGCTGAAGATGCTGTTCGGCCCAGTCGAGATCAGCTTGAGCAGGAGAGCAGGCGCATAGAAGTCTGGCTCGCGGGACTAGGTTCAGAATATTGAGGGCATGCTTCTGCCCCATACGTCCGATGCCAACAACACCCACATTGAGGATCTTGGGTGAAGAGGTCATGTTGTCAAATTCTTCGAGATACAATAGAGTGATCTGAATTTAATTTCATGAACAAAATCTTGGGGATGTCGCTGTGAACAGACGGATTAGCTCGCTTGTGGTCGTAATGATCGTGTTGTGACTTTTGCTGGCGATGTTACGAGAGGTTATACTTGTGAATATGGAGAGCGGAAGATTGTTACTGCTTCTAGCGAATGAGGGCAACCCCGGCGATTTTACACCGTATTGGTAATATGACGCTCAATAATGGCTGACGCGACGTCACAGGTGAATCCCGAACACCGATGTCATCGAGCGTTCACAGTGAGAACGTGTGTATAAAAGGTGGAAGAATGTCCTCGGGCTTGCAATTCCGTTTGGAACTTTGGATACAGCGGCTCGCGATCGAGTGTTGTCCCTGTACGCCTCTTCTCATACCCACTACCACCCAATTCAACCATTCAAGTTTCCAGTTCAGCCAAACACACTTTAAAAATGTCGGAATTAACAGCGATTCGCTGGGGCATTGTTGGTAAAGCATTCCCCGCATGCTGAATTCGGGGAAAAGCACACTACTGACTGACTAGTACAGCTACCGGGATGATCTCCTCCTGGTTCGTCGAAGACCTCTTGGTCTCACGATCAGATGCAAAAGTCAAGCACATTGTCCAAGCGATTGGGAGTTCATCCGTCCAGAAAGGGCAAGACTTCTCGAAGCAATATTGCCCGAATAGTCAACCGGCTATTTATGGATCGTACGGGGAAGTTTATGCCGACCCCAATGTGGATATCGTCTACATTGGCACCCCGCACGCTTTCCACAAGCAAAACTGCCTGGATGCCATCGAAGCAGGCAAACCCATTCTTTGCGAGAAGGCTTTCACGATAAACACTCGTGAGGCAAAGGAGGTCTTTGCGCGTGCCAAGACAAAGGGAGTCTACGTTGCTGAAGCCATGTGGCTCCGCCACCGACCTCTGGTCCAAGATCTGCAACGCATGCTTCACAAAGACAAGGTCATTGGCGAAATTTTCCGCGTCTACTCTGAGTTCGGTCTCGGGCTAGACATCCCGAACCTCCCAGACAGCTCGCGTTATAAGCAACCTCATCTTGGTGCAGGGTCGCTATTGGATTTGGGGATCTACACTCTGACGTGGGCTATCCTAGGCTTGGACGCAGGAACTCCTGGTTCTTCTGAGAAGCCCAAGATCCTAGCTTCACAGTCGCACGATGGTTCTGTCGAGGTGACTACTAGTGTCATCCTCCACTATCCCTCTACGGGTAGACAGGGTGTTGTCACTTCAACGACAATGGCAACTGGAAACCCAGATGTGTTGGCACGCATTCAAGGAACCAAAGGCACGATTGAGGTACATGGCACCGTCCCATCTGACCCAGACTCTTTCACTTTGTACTCCACATTTGAGAGAGACCAGGTCAAGGGCATCATCGGAAGGAACGCGATCAAGACATTTGAATACAAGCCAGTCGGACGAGGGTATTACTGGGAAGCCGACAACGCTGCGTTGGATGTGCTGGCCGGGAAGTTGGAGAGTGACGTGATGCCTTGGGCAGAAACTATCCGTGTCATGGAGATGATGGACGAAATCCGACGACAGGGTGGGACTGTGTATCCTCAAGACGAGGAGTGAGGGGTGTTTTCTTAAACTCAACCGTAGAATAGATAGCAAGCAACAAAGATTTGTATTTGAGGGTAGCTAGATTATCCCAATTATTGCGCAGCAAGCAGTACTGAGCTTTTTGCTGACGTGGAAGCATTGTGATTCGAGGGGAATGGAGTCTGGTAGTTACTAAGTACGCACCTGGCGTACCCAGGATATACAATACCCCACTGACGCTTACACATGTGTTCAATGTCCTGGTAGTCTCTTACTCTTTTGTTCGTTGTCTCTTCAATGCTCATTCTGTGAGGCTAGCTGGGCCTGTATCCTCATTTTCGGCAGATCGCCTAAAGGAGCATTTGCAACTAGAAGAGTGTTATCCTTGGTCTCTTCTCTCAACTAAGAACACAGACAACTAGATTTTGTGTTTCCCTACCTATATCATGGGGCACTTGGACTTTGTGTAAGGATAAGAATTGACTTTTTATCGAGATCGCCGATGAAGGCTCTGTTTTCAGGCTCACCCGAGGTTGTCAATAACTAAACCACCTCCTTGATGAGTTGATGACCTAAGCGTCGATTAAGGAAGAATTGTATTCATTCGAGTTAATCATACTGCACGGTTTGTCTGATCGCCAGGAGCTTTTCTTGTCCTGGACTTTAACTAAGTAATCCTACCAGAAATGAAATTGCGCGATGCTTCAAGAAATCAACAAGCCTTTGCCAAGACACTCTTGAATGCAACTTGGAATCGAATCTTGGCTCACTTGAACAACAGATAGGGCTATGTTCACTCATGCATCTTGTTGTTTGTGTGAAGGTGATCCACTTGTATCAATTAGTAACTTGCGCGCGGGTGTGGTGTTCGTTATCGGCGCGGGCCGGGATTACCAATCTGTTCCTTGGATGGCGCAATACATCAAGATGACCTGATGAACTCCAACCATTGGGCGATGCATGCCTTGACTCAGAACCATAAAATGCCGCGCAATCCATATCGCTATCTCAGAGCTTCCGATGGAAGATTGCCAAGTCATCTAGTAACAAAATCATTCATCAACACAACCGATCGGCTCCTTTGTCAACATACGCTCCCACCAATTCATTATCACGATGGCTGTCAAGAATCATAGCGGGCCAAGTCTTCTGAAAGTTGCCATCATTGGTGGCGGGCCCGGAGGGTTGGGTGCCGCGATTGAGTTCGGAAAGTTGAACTATGTTGACTGGTCTCTTTACGAAAAGAAGTCGCAAATCAGTGAAACTGGCGGCGGTATCAGCCTACAAAGACATACCTGGAGGCTCTTGGAGTTGAACGGGGCAGCCAGAAACATTGATCCTTTGGATTTCTTCAGATCTCCTGATGGAACCAGCGGACAGTCAAGGTAGGCGACATTTTGTGTTGTAAATAGGGAAGATCATGAGACTTACTAATACCGACTCTACCCCACAGGAACGGAAGAACCGGAAAGCTTCTGGAACAACACCATCATCCCAAAGATACTCCGCCGCAGCAAGTAAGCTGCCGCATGGTTCGAGCTAAATTGCAGGCTGCTTTGCTCAAAGAAGTTGACCAAAGTCGTATCAAAACTTCTAAAAAGCTCGTTGATATCACGAAGTTGTCGACTGGTAGAATTGCAATCCGTTTTGAAGATGGCTTCAGCGATGAAGTTGACCTACTAGTTGGAGCAGATGGCATTCGTTCGGTAAGGCTCAACCCCGTCACGATACCACTGAAGAGACAACAGAAACTAATAACACGAAGTTTGTGAGATCCTACGCTTTTCCTGAGCACAAGATTAAGTACAATGGCCAATCTGCCTATCGGACCATCATTCACAAGCCTACAGCCGAGAAGATCGAGGGTATCCCAAAGTCTCCCGTATTCTGGCAGAACACTGGTGGAAAGTACGTGTTTACGTGTCCTCTTGGCGGAGATGACTTCGAGGTCACTGCACGCATCCGCCGGCAGATCGAAGGTCAAGAACACGTGAGCTGGGGTCGGCCTTTTGACTTTTCCACCATCGCCTCAGAGTACGACGAATTTTGCGAGCCTGTCCGCAAAGTCATCCAACTTGCTGCTCAGGGCGAGACACAGGAATTTGCACTTTTCTCGGGGCCGCGACTGGAAAGCGTCGTCCACGAGGAGGCTATTGCCTTGATTGGAGACGCATCTCACCCTCTATCGGGTGCCTTTGGCGCTGGAGCCGGATTTGCTTTGGAGGATGTCTATGCCTTGACGCAAAGCGTTGACTGGCACTGGAACAACGGTGGGGATTTGTCTGCAGCTCTAGAGTTGTATGATCAGATCAGGTCACCCCATTATCGCGACTTGTACAAGGTGCTTGATGATTTTGGTGCGATGAATACTACACTGCTTTCGGAGAATCTTCCTGTCAATGAGGAGATTGAAGAGCGAGTGCGAAGGGCAGCTGAGAGTAAGAGTACTTGGATGTACCATTACGAGATAGATAAAGCTGTCGAAAAGTTGCTTGGGGCTGCCAATCAGCACGGACAAGTCGCAACTGTGCTATGAGGTAGATTTATAATACACTGCTAGACATCTGGTCGCAGCAATCTTCCAATCAGGACCAAGCCCATAAGAAGGCCGGCCACAGAGGTACCGAAACCTGGAGGGCGTACGGAACGAGGCGAATGGGGTTTTTGGTGACTGAGGAACGCGCCGTAGGATTTCCGAATCCAAATTCCATCACTTGCCTACCTCAAGCGCCATCTTGATGTAAGACCACTCGGCACTTGACAGGCCGGAATATCTATGACCGAATACCAGTTGCCGAGCCTGGATGTCGGGGCGGGGCCGGCAAGAGCGGCAGGATCGGCCTCCACTCATCAGGGACTGCGGAGAGATCACCGGCAATGGTCCTTGACGAATTGTGACTTGGGGTGTTTGCTGTTATCGACCAGTCGAATAGCAACTTGACTTGACAATCATATCGGCCAAAACTTCTAAAGCAGACATCAAATACATCAGACCACGCTGCTTTTGTAGTCTGCACATTGTCAACGGAATCTGCTATCGGGATGATTCGAGAGCAAAAGAATTTCAGTACAGAGCTTCGGATTCATCCTTCCCGCAAAGTAAGGTATCCAAGCTAGCCAAGCGCTAATCTTATTGTTGTTACATCACGGTCAAAGCCCTGGCTAATCCTTGTATCATCGGGGTCGTGTAAGCTACATGTGGACTAGAGAGGCCCGGGGGCGATATTTATCACTACATGTATGCGGGGTAACAGTCTGTTTGGTTTCCCTGTCTGCCGTGTCCCCCCAACCAGAAAACATAAGATGAGATCGGGAGCTCATTGATGGCTCCGGGACAGATACCCAGCCTGTCGGGATTCGCTTTGTTAAAGATGTTCGCGGCAGTTTCTCTAGTCCTTGCCGTTTTGCTGGCGTTGGCTACGCCTTCCGAAGCGACTTTTCAGAGTGACTGCCTGGATCTTACTCCTCAGACTACAGTGGTCAACTCGACTGCTCAGGAGATCAGTCATGTGGAGACCGGCACCAACCTCACTTTTCCAGAACAAGATCCATCATGCGGTCGCGGAAGCCAGGTGGTCCGCACTAATCTTTGTCGTGTCGCCATGAATATTACAACTTCTAGTAGATCACAGATTGTCGCTGAAGTGTGGCTACCCGAGAAATGGAATGGGCGCATGGTAACGGTCGCTGGTGGAGGGCTCGATGGGTGTAAGTAGTTGAGTCTGGGACACTGACATGGAGTGGTGGCGTTTAAATCGAGCACGTACTAACAATGAGAAATGCGATAGGCGTTCACACTGAGGACCTTGCGTATGCGACTGCTCATGGCTTTGCTGCTGTTGGCACGAATAACGGGCATGCTGGAACGACCGGTGTACAGTTCCTCAACAACGATGATGTTGTCATTGACTTTTCGTACAGAGCGTGAGTTATCCCAGCTTCGACTTTCCAATCTACAAATCGACTGATATGCCTACCAGGATTCACACGGGCGTTCTCGCTGGGAAGAGTCTTCTCAAGTCTCTCTACAAGGAGAAGATGACGGGGTCATACTTCTTAGGTTGTTCTCTTGGAGGACGGCAAGGCGTGCAAGCCGCGGACATGTTTCCCGAAGACTTCGATGGTATCGTCGCAGGTGCACCGGCAGTGGACTTCAACAACCTCTACTCCTGGCGAGCCAGCTTCTACCCTCTGACTGGTTCTGTTGACTCCAAGGATTTCATTGCTCCCGCCACCTGGAAGACGACAATCCATGATGAAGTGCTTAAGCAGTGCGACACTATCGATGGCGTTCAAGACGGCATCATAGAGGACCCCACCCTCTGTCACTTCGAACCTGGAACTCTCCTGTGCAAGTCAGACAGCGGCGACTCCAAATGCCTCACTGGCGCACAAGTCGAGATCGTGAGAAAGATCTTCAGCCCAACCAACTACACGGACGGCAAGCTTTTCTGGCCAGCCATGAATCCCGGCAGCGAAATCATCACCGCAGACGGGCTGTACAGTGGAAGCCCATTTGCTCTATCCCAGAATTGGTTCCGCTATGCGATTTACAATGACCCGAATTGGGACCCGGCTACTTACACACTCGAAAAGGACGGCATCCTTGCTCAAAAGCGGAACCCCGGCAACATTAAGACGTACCCACGGGACTTGTCGGCATTCAAGAGGAGGGGAGGAAAGTTGTTGATGTACCACGGCCAACAGGATCAGCAGATTACAAGCTTTCACACTCCCATTTTCTATGACCGCTTGGCAAAAGGCATGCATCTGAACCACACTGGAATGGATCACTTTACACGGTTCTTCCGTGTTTCGGGCCTGTACCATTGCACGACAGGACCCGGTGCCTGGTTGATTGGCCAAGGAAGCAGCGGTGGAAACTCGGCCGTCATCAGCGATAGTCTCCCATTCAATAGGACATACAATGTCCTGGCCGCCATAGTAGACTGGGCTGAGAGTGGAATCGCCCCGGACACCATAACAGGAACCAAGTTTGTCAATGACAGTGTTGGTTCGGGTGTGGACTTCCAACGGCGACATTGCAGATACCCGTTGCGAAATACCTACCGGGGCGAGGGTATGGACCCAAAACTCCCGGATAGCTGGAAATGTGTGTAGTTGAAAATCTAGCTGCGTGCAGATTCAGGAGTGAGAGAATGACATCGTATCAGCTCTGATGGACTCGATGAGGGACCAGGGCCAAAAGTTCACATGTAATAACGGTGCAACTGTCTCAGATCGACCCTATATGTATTTGTTTCATGCCAACCAGGAGTTCCAGTAATAAGTCACATAGTAAGCTGAACAATTATAGAAGTTGATCCGGATAGGCAGATTCCATCTTGGTTCAGCCAGACGTGCACATGTCACAAAAGCCGATCCGGTCAACATCCCGCTTGACCGGGCCGGGAATCGATCCCTTGTCAGGATCAAAGAAGCATCCAATCCAGTAAGCCAAATCCGGCCAAAACAATGGGCTTATGGAGACTTCATTAGTCAATAATTCGCCAACTAAGGCGAATTTGGGCGTAATTTGTACGCAACGCACGGACTTCCGCAACAAATTTTCATTATCTTACTTTACTTATCGGTATCGAGTCATCCTCAGTCGAAACATTTACATGACTGTTTGGTGCACCCTCTGTTTGCCTCAGTCCGACATTGAATTGTAGCTTTGCAACCTCCGGCAAAGACACCAAAATGGCAGACAACTTGGAGAGCCAGCGTGACCGGCGCGTCGATGAAAAGCACGCAACGACAGAGAACCTTGGTGCCGATGCACAAGTAGCTTCGGCTACAGGCCGGAGCAGCAAAGGTCTGGTGCGGAGAGTGTTGATGGCTGGGCGGGTCGAAGAAGGCGGCATCGAGCCTATCCCAAGAGAAGTCCGGACGAACACCAAGTACTTCAATGCTTTCACGATCTGGTGCTCTATCAACACGAACATTTTGGCGTAAGTTTTCTGGCTCTTCAAATTTCATATGGTCCTCGTGCACACAGGCTGACGTTTGCCACTCAGTATCACGTTCGGCATGCTGGGTCCGGTCTCTTTCGGCCTTGGCCTCCGAGATTCGGCGCTCGTCATTCTCTTCTTCAATTTGCTGTCAACGCTGGCACCAGCATTCTTGTCGACGTTGGGCCCGAAGACTGGCATGCGACAGATGATTCAAGCTCGGTTTAGTTTTGGGTAAGTTGATATTCCCCCGGTCGAAAGGGCGGACCTACCTCATGATCTTGGGTTGCCCGTGGCCAACTCAAGCGTCTCAACTGACGCCTTCCTAGATACTACTTCGTATACATCCCTGTCGTGCTCAACCTTGCTACTCTCACCGGCTTCTGCGTCATCATTTGTGTCGTTGGTGGACAGTGCCTTTCAGCAGTGTCCGAAGGCGACCTTTCGACTTCCGTTGGCATCGTCTTGATCGGCATCGCGGCTCTGCTGATCTCTTTCTGTGGCTTCAACGTGCTGCACTTCTATGAAGGGTACGCATGGATGCCAGCTCTCGTAGCCATTATCATCGCGGTTGGATGTGGCGGACAGCAGCTGCAAAAGCAAGCTCCCTTTGAGCCGGCAACGGCTGCGGGAGTCCTTAGCTTCGGTGGTGTCATCGCTTCGTACATGATCCCATGGGCCTGCATCGCATCTGATCTGACAACATACTTTGACCCTACTGGCCGGACGGTCTCGTAAGTAAATATGCTTACACAGATGATCTCAAGACTGACTTTCCATCAGACACCGCATCTTTGCCTACAGCTACTTGGGGTTGGTTGTGCCCACGATCTTGCTTATGACTCTCGGCGCGGCTATCGGTGGTGCTATGAGCAACATCCCCGAGTGGCAAATCGGCTTCGATAGCACCTTGGTCGGCGGCGTTCTCGGAGCCATGCTCTCCCTAGCCGGCGGATTCGGCAAATTCATTCTTGTCGTCCTTGCATTCACGCTGTTGGCAAACATTTCCGGCACCATGTACGCAATTACGCTGAACTTCCAGACCCTCATCCCGTCGTTCCGCCTGCCGCGGTACATTTTCTCCGTTATCGTGACCGCCATTATCATTCCGATCGCGGTCAAGGCAGCACACGACTTCTTTTTGAGTCTCGAGAACTTCATTGCCCTCATCGGCTACTGGTCTGCGTCCTTCGTCGGAATCGTGGTCACCGAGCACTTTGTCTTCAGGCGCGGTGACTCCAAGCTCTATGAGGTTGCGGTGTGGGACGTGCCCTCCAAGCTGCCCCTGGGTATTGCTGCTATCGGCGCAGCTGTGTTGAGCTTTGGTCTCGTCGTCCCTTGTATTGCCCAGGTCTGGTTTACGGGCCCCATCGCGGTCTCGACAGGAGACATTGGCTTCGAGGTTGCGTTCTTCTTGAGCGCTGTCTTGTATGTGCCTCTGCGTTACGCCGAGAAGCACTACTCGGGACGGTAATGGGTTGTGATGGTTATGAAAGACAGTATAGAAATGGTTTCCAATAGCTCGAGGAGGTGGAGGGGATCTTTGACCAATGCCAATCACGTTCAGGCCACGGCATCCATTTGGGTACTCCGTGTATGTTGCACCACTTTCAATGCTCTTCTCCAGCGCCTCCTCATTCTGTCATAAACGGTACAAATTTGTACATTGAGAAACAAGCCAATACCGCAATCTTGCATTAGCATAACTTGCCAATCAAGCATCGCCATCCATCCCCATCCAGAAAAATGCTTCCATAATCTCCCGCGGTACCTCGGATCTCATCAACCGCTCAAGCGGCTAAATGGCAGCAAACACCTCCTTTGACCAAAGATATAATATCCATGAGGATGTCCCTTTCGATGGTTCCACAGCCTTGATGTTGCATGCAGAACCCTTCAGACTAGGGTCAGGTTCAGTTTGCGACAACCAACAAGAGACAGGGAATAGTCAAGGACCCCTCACTCGAACGACTCCACCAGGTACTGGAGCTTACGGATCGTCTCACTGCAGGGTTTCGTTGCAGCTCTTCCCTGAAGATGCTGTTCAATAAGAATTATCCACCTGGCGGCACAGGCGCCGACTTGGGAAACCCCTTTGATCATCTTGTTGACAGTCCTAGGTGCCGGCAGCTCGCCATAAGCTGGCGTACATAATGAAGGGGAAGTACTGCTTTCGTATCTCTTCAAACCGCAACGCTCCCAGTTCTCTTCTAGATTTACTTGGCTACATCCTTTGAAGCAATCTTCAATCTCCCTTCTCCCTTCACACCTCTTCACGATGGCTGGTATCGCACCTGGAAAGACCTTCACCCCTGGGTTGGACTTCAGCAACCAGTCTTACAGCAAGCTCAGCGAAAAGGTTGAGGCCGACGTCAGCCGTGCTCATGAGATCATCAAGGAAAAGCTTCCGCTGCTCGCCCAACTGAACGCACTCGTCTCCTTGACATTCGGAGATCGAGCCCCAATCTTTGTGGATGCTCGTTCATCTGAGGCGAGATTCCTCGACTCTTGCTCCGATAAGCCAGATACAAAAGTCACAATCAAGCCCGAGTACATCTCTCAGTTCTACGAAGGCAAGCTCGAGCCTCGATATGGCCTCTTCAAGGACGCCTTCTTCCACGAGGCTTCAATGCCGCAGGGCAATGTCCCCGTGGCCATCAAGTTCGCCGACCTCCTCACTCCCGACCCTCCCGTACCGCCCAAGAAGGTCGTTCCTGGCGCCTTTGCCCGTCTTCCTCGGCCAACAGAGGATATCGACCAAGTCAAGCGGGATATCAAAGAGTTTGGCTACGGTCTCGTCAAGAACGCCCTGACTCCTGAGCAAGTTTCTATCTTGAGGAAGGGAACCCAGGAACAAGCTGCTGGCGAGCGCAAGGCTGGCGTTTCCGCCGCGGACGGTGGCCCAAACGCCCCCAACCAGCGCATCTGGACTCTGATCAACAAGGGAGAGGAGTTCCTCGATCTTCTGAACCACCCTCTCATCGATGAGATTGTTCCCTGGTTCCTCGGCGAGCATGCTCTTATCCATAGTTACAGCGCCAACATTGCCCGCCCCGGAAACGTTCCCATGCAACTTCACACAGATCAAGTTGCCATTCAACCGCCTGTGCGTGAGCTCGCTTTCGGCCTCAACATCATGTGGTATCTCGAGGACATCACGGAGAAGAACGGCGGCACCCGCGTGTTCCCTGCGTCTCACCTTGGTCAAATTGCCCCTGATGACCTGTTCACTGTCGATGGCACTGTCGCCGCCGAAGGGCCTTCTGGCACTGCCTTGGTGTTTGACAGTCGGCTGTGGCATGCTACTGGCCCCAACCGTGAGGAGTCTGGCGAGCGTCCGGTCATTCTGATCTTCTTCATGCGATCCTTCATTCGCCAGCAGGAAAACAACTTCCTGTCACTGCGCAAGGATGTCGAGGCTAAGTTGTCTGACCGCCACAAGCGTCTACTTGGGTTCTACACTACGGGTGCTCTTGGTGGGATTGAGGGCGAAGTCCGGGAGGGTATCTTTGTGACAAGGAAGGATGATTGCGTTGGAACATTACGCGCCGCTCACGAGTGAGCACTTGCGCGCCTTGATAGCGACCTAAACACCTGTATCTTAGCTTGTCTGTAGAATCTGATGAAGATCATCCAAGTGCCCATGTCAACTAATGACCTATCCCTTCGTGTCGCTAAACGATCACTCCGTCCAGTCTCTCATCTGTGTGATCGAATTCGCCCACCTGCCTGGCCATTTGACCAGCATCTATGGAGGCGGTATTTCACCCAGCCTCAACATTTACCCTGGTTATCCTATTCTTGAACCCGTTGTTGGAGTCTCGAAGAGCAAACATGAACCCTGCCGTAGCCCCACGTCTTCATCAGAGAGAAGCCGCCGTTGTGTAGTCCTTGTGCACTGTGGAACTTTTCTGCTCATCCCGAAAGCCCCCTGGACGGCACGGTCTCCACTATCTCCGTTGGTTTACTCTTGTATGTCTCTTGCTGCCTCACGAGCTTCCAACAGAAAATCGTCCATTTGACACGTATTAGCCGAGTTTCAAGGCCTTTCCATCGATGATGCAACCTAGTCCTGGGGCCCTAGTAGAGAACATTGCAGCCGGCAGGGTTCTTGTTTGCCAGATTGTAACTGTTGGTACTGGGAATCCAACTCCGGTTGGAACGATACTGCATCGGCAGAGTTTCTTCAAAGAGGGATGCCGAGCAGATCTCAGATCCATAATCTCCGTATTGTGAATCTCGCTAACATTGAAATACGAGCGGTGCAGGCGAGCGTTGGGGGACAATGTTTAGCAATCAGGACCCTGACTGTTCTCGCCCTCAACTGGCTAAGAGCCACGAGGTCCATGAGGCCACTGAACTACTCAGCATGAGTTTGATGAATAGCAATTTCATGCCTAGAAATTTCTACCAAGCTATATCTACCAGACGTATTGAGTGTGCTTGAGCTTATGATAACGGCATGTGCTCAGTCACATGATGGTGTGAGTGTCGCCTACAGGAAGGTCCACGCTACGAATATCGAAGCTCAGTGTTTGCTTCGATCGATCGATGATAGTGGTCCATCCTTTAGCTGAGTCACTTAGCCGGGCTGAGAGAGTCGATTCTAAAAGACAGAAGCCGGGTCATGCGACAGGCATCCATACTGCGTCGTTCCAACAGCCAAGGAAGCACATCTCCACCAAACAGATCCACAGCTCTTCGCAGGCATCGTCTTCCAACATGCAGTCCCTGGACAATCATTCTGCTGTCGCAGTTCCACTCCTCGAAGCAGGCAAGTGGGTGACATAATCGTTTACCGCTCTATGAACCCTGGCTCTTTTCCTGCTATTTTTCACTTTCTACTTCTTGAAGAGTATTCTCTAGTAAATATATAGAAGTTAACTAATAGTAGAATAAATAGGTCGTAAGTGTTATAATCATTTGTTGACTGGTGATCTAATTTGTCACCCACTTAGCAGGCACAAGCAGTTGCACAGTGATTGTTGGAGGCTAGTGCAGGGTGTCTGGGCCGCTCATATCCATAAAGGATGGCATCGTGAGATTTACTTTGAACATGGATGGCAGGAACTTTTGTACGCAAACAACCCATAGATCCGCTCCATCAAATCCCGCCCCTGAGTTCCCAAGACCACCGCAAAACGATTTGTGTGGCAACGAAATCATATCGGAATTATAAGTCTCGACGATCAGGGGCTTGCAATTCAGGGGGTAAAATGAACGCCCGAAAGTTGAAATTTTAGTGGACCATGACGATTGTCTATCGATGAACATGGTTCAATCGATGTCCCAACACGAATCTCCTGTGTCTCTCTATTGCAGGATATTCAATGTTTGTAGAAGTGGTTGATCTTTGTGAGTTTTGATCGCTCGGTAGATGGCAGGGGATCTGAAGAATCTGTTCTTCAGTCAAACATTCTTCAAGATCATATCATCAAACATCCGGCCACAGACAGCACTTTTTTGGTCAATATCTTGGATCGCTGCACGACGTCAAGCAGAAGGGCTATGCTCTGCTGAAGAACCTTGAAACAGCCTTATTGAAACTCAAGGGTCACCAATCTTTCGAGTTCAGCTCTCAAAATGGCGGCGAAGCCTTTCGACGAGATGGAGGTGAATTGGATCACTAAACCAGATCTCCTAGGGATGGCGACCCTGGGAATTACAATTTGCCTGGGATCCATATCTTTTGTTGTATTCATCCTACGACTGTGGGCACGACACAAGACGCGGGCAACAGGTAAAGATGACTACCTCATGGGCATTGGCGTGGTGAGTATTTTGTACGATCTTGCTTTACTTTCTGCCACTGACTATTTGACAATAGGCGATTTACCTGGCATGCTGCGTCTTCACCTCCATTGCGGTATATGCAGGAATGGGAACAACAGATGCTCATCTGCAAGAATGGAATATGGTAGCCGGTATCAAAGTACCTTAAGTCTTCATTCCCTTTTCTACAACCCCGTATTCGAGTTAGCAGACTAACCCCAATGTCGAACAGTGGCTTGTCTTTTTCCAGATTACTTACGCATGGAGCCTTCCATTCATCAAAGCCAGTATCTGCTTAACTGTATTCCGCATCACGAATCGAAGAAGATACCGAACCATCCTTTGGGCCGTCATGATTGCATCAGGACTCAGCACCACCGTCGGCTTCATTGCCGTGGTTGCAGTATGCCGCCCAATGGAGTACACTTGGGATAAGTCAGTGGACGGACAGTGCGCACCTCAGAATATCATTACCACGATTAGCTACATGATCTCGGTCCTAGCAATTGTAACCGACTGGACCTGCGCAATCGTCCCGACAGTTGTTGTGTGGGGCTTACAGATGAAGTCGAGAGTAAAAGTTTCTGTTTGCGCTGTGCTTGCGCTAGGTGCGATGTGGGTTTTTTGAGCAGTTCAATAATGAATCTGCTACGATTGCTAACTATTATGTTACTCCAGTGCAAGCGCCGCTACGATAGTCCGACTGCCGTACTTGCAATACTATAACCAAGTCGAGAATTACTTGCGTAAGTGTTCGCTCATTTTGTAGCTTGTCTCTTTCTTTTCATCGCCGTGGCTGATCAGATGTTCTCCAGATAACATTGCAAATATTGTTTTGTGGTCGATTCTCGAATGTGGCATCGGTATCATTGCCGGCTCGCTGCCGTCTTTGAGGCGACTGCTCAAGTTCTGGCTAGATAAGTCCAGCAAGGGGTCTTACAACAACACAGGGTCGAATGGTCTGAATGCTATATCTGGAATGCAGGCTGGAAGCAACGGTGTCAGAATGAATAACCTCAGCGGGCGAGGCTTGACAGTTTCGAACTGCCAAAGTGGCCCTCACGACACCTGGGTTCAGCTGGATGATGATTCCGATAGCCAGAAGCACATCATCATGAGAACTCAAGAAGTTACGGTCCAATACGAACTAGATGGTCAATCTCGTGGACGCTGATATTAAAGAGTCAACATAGATGCGCATTTTGGGCTACATTGAAGGCGCGGGGGAATAGAAATACCTTGTCCCGGGGGCCGGCCTGAGTGCCGGTCGAAGTGGGGCCTTCATATCGCCGCCGGACAAGGGAGTGACGTTACACCCTCCTGGTTCGGCAAATGTATTGCTTCTGAAGTTTCCATAGAACCAAGATTTGAAGATGGACTGCCATGGACATAGAAGATCGAGTGATATGGGATCTGAAGGGAAGCTTCATCATTGGTAATTATGATTACCCCCTTGAGATCGTCGCCAGCGGAGTGGAATTGTAGGGTTGGAGAGCCCGCCGGCGCCTTGGCTCTTGGCAGGATGCCGACGGGCAATCTCTGAATACGCGACTGCACGATATGTTCAGACTACCGTTTATTGTCTGACTACTGAGGGTGACCGAATATTCGTTTACACCTCGAGATCAGTGAGAGAACAGAGTTCTGGATAGAAGAGTCCTTGGCGATAACCCCTAAACTCTAGCGCTGGCAGTTTGCGTTCCTCCAGTACATCACCTTACCTAATGCATCAATGTGACGGATTTCCGAACGACCTGGGCAAGCCACGGCTGAGTAAGCTCGTATGTGTTTGCCTCTGTCCGGCAATGCCACCCCCGCGAGCAAAGCATCACCGGATGCGGATAAGCCTTCTGCCATTGGCTGTACGACGTCAATGGCTTCATTTCTATCATCTTCGTGATCCTCCCAACTTTTACTGCACCTTCCAAGACAAGTTCTCAGAATCTCACGAAGACAGTTGAGCATCGAAATTGGAGTATGGCTATGGAGATCCTCCCCCAGGAAGTCGTCGACCAGATCGCATCGAACTTGCACCGACCCGATCTCAAGAACCTACTACTTCTATCGCCTAAGCTTCGCACCGCGGCGGAGAAGTATTCTGACGGCTTCACAGACTGCACTCTGCGAGTGCGTGATCTCTGTGAATTTGAGGAAAAATTTCGCGGTGCGCGCTTCTGCTGGTTGCGGAAGCTGGAGTATAAGCTGGTTTTGCTGCCCCAACGGCTGCCAAACAGGATACGATCAACAGCAGACAACGCCGCAGAAGCGAAGCGCAACGCGGAGTATCTTTCCAGTCAGATCCATCAGCTCTTTGATTGCCTTCAGAACCTCGAAGAGCATGATGGCCCGCAAGGCACGATTGATCTTGCAATCACTAGTCCTGAGACGCGTGAGACGGAGATTAGGATACCAGAAGCATGGTTCATACGGCTTCTTGACCCAAACAGGCTACCGACGCTCACATCTATCGGCTCTCTTTACCTGGGACCTAATCCGACTCAACGGCAGTCGAATTATTTCAGCAGATTCGATCTCAGAGCCGCGCTGGATCTCTCACTCAAACTCCCAGGCATTACGAGCATAGATGCCGAGCTCTTCGACGAACACAACTGTGATGCTGAAATCGATCTGGTCCGCTTCCATGGGCGAGAGGATTTTGCGAGGGCCGCTAGAAACATGTCTCTTCAGACAAGGAAAGCCGAGTTGAAATTCCAGAGCCGGAAGGCGCATCAACTTCTCGATCACGATGCTGCGATGCCGAAACTTATCCTCTCAGGGTCGTCGGACTCCTTTAGCTCAAGTCTTAGACTTCTTTGCCAAAACCTCACCCAACTTCGACTTAGTGCCATTATTGACCATTCCTTTTTCTGGCCCGAGGATGAAAATGATTCAGTCTGGCCCAATCTGGAGTCTCTAGAGGTCAAATTCCACCCAGCAACCCCATCCGGATCCTGGTATTTCATAGGACCCCGTGGAGAAGGCAAGGATGTGCAGGGATACCCTGTTGAAGGTGTGGAATATGCCACCCAAGGCAATTCCGCTGACAGCGATACCATCATACTCGGCCACGCTCCTTGCAGACCATCAGGATGGCGCCTTAATCCCAATCCAGACACACTGTACCCGCTGCTCGCTGCGTTCGCCAAGTCAGCGGCCAAGATGCCTCGCTTGAAGGAAGCAATGATATGGTCACCAATCTGGTGGTACCTGGGAGATCACGTCTCATCCAAGTTCTCATATAACAAAGGATTCGACATGATGAATAGCCAGAAATCACTCGGTTGGGGAATTGGGTACACGGCACCAGATGTTGACGAGGACTCAGGCTCTGTGGGGTCAGATGATGAGGACGTTCGGCTCTTTGAGTGGAGAACCGGCAATTGGGAGGCGGATGAGACGTTAAAACAGCTGTTCCACAACATTGGTCGCGAGAGATACGGTGATGAGTTTGAAGACGATTGGGATCCAGACGCAAATCAGGAAGACCTGTTCTTTGAGGGTTTCTGCCAAGGCGAAAGAAAGGTGTGACGTCAGGCTCGCAGAGATCTGGGAGCGAGATATTTCGGTGCAAATAGTTAGCTTAGCCGATACTGTTTGGCCACCGCGGGCAGTTGCAGTTGCGACTGTGGGCAATTGCTCGGTGGCTCGTGGGCGCCCAGCTGCCTAAGTAGATTACTGCCCGAATAATAGCCAAACAATACTGCCCGGATAGATCATTGTGCTTTGCCAGAAACCAATATTTCCGATGACTATTCGCAACCTTATCTCCAGTTTCAGGTTCTCTTGATTGGAGGGTGATAACAACTCGACTTCCAAGAAGTACTAAGACCTTGGCTCGCCCCATCCGAACCACTGAAACCCCCAACATCGTCTTCTCGGCATCTCGGCGCTCCTGGGCAGGAGCATTTTATCACTTAAGCGACTAACAAGCCTTCCGCGTCCCATAGTACTTGTGAACCCCGGGACCGAGCGGGTGATAACAGCGGGACACGTTAGAAACCTTGAGAGCAAACATGCCCGCCGGCCACATTGAATTACGACAGAAAATACAAAGAAAATTGGTCCTCACTATGCGGATCCCGCTCCTCCACGACAAGATCCGGCGGCGCATTACTCAGACATGCGCGACGACGGAGAAAACTTGTACTTTGGGACTTCGTATGCCTAGTTTATCCCATTCCAATGGCCTTATCGCTCGATTAACCATTCCGCTCCGATGTACCGGAACAGACGTTCTTGGCTGAGAGCCTTTATCAGCTTCTCGGGGGTTTGCAGTGACTGGCCTCGGGGAGTAGTAGAATTGATTAGCATCTAGCATACGTCAAAAGCACGGGTTATTGATAAAAGTGATAAAAGCCCGGCGGCCATTGACAAACGGCTAACAAAGCAGACGGAGCGCTTTTGCTCTGACATATTTCTATCGACTCCCCCGCTGATCCAGGCATCGCCCTGAACTGCTGGGAACGGGTCTGATGCTAAAGTTATACCAAACACAATTCAGCAGCCAATAGGCATCTTCTTCTCGATAGAAACCATGGACTCGACACCAGTTCTAAACCAAGGATGGGGGTCGGTTTCCTTCCGACATAGTTACGGAGTTCTGAACGCTAACAATATCTAGCTATGGACTCATGATTGGACTTGGTGTTCTTTTTGCGTATGTTACATTTTCCCAGTCCTCGGCGTCAGGCCCAAGTGCTGATCCAACTCACAGCGTGTTCATGATCATTATCACTTGGGCACTCAAAAGATACAACTATGAGCTTCAGACATCCGAGATGTTTACGACAGCTGGGCGGTCACTAAAATCGGGATTGGTAACTATCGATCAGTTTCATACGACAACCCTCAGCGCTGATTCTTGCTAGGTCGCCTCATCGGTCCTTTCAACTTGGACATGGGCCGCGACTCTGCTGCAAAGCACAGCCGTAGCTTACAAATAGTGAGCTCTATGATAACCTTTTGTCTACTAGTGAAGCTGACTTCATCAAGCGGTGTTTCAGGGCCCGTATGGTATGCCTCTGGGGCCACTGTCCAAATCATCCTGTTTGCCACGCTCGCTATTGAGCTGAAGAGACGTGCTCCCAATGCGCACACATGTGAGGCTTTGATAGGCAATGGCCCCGTGAGTCTTGACTAACCTGGCTCTCCCAGTCCTAGAAGTCGTGAAAGCTCGATATGGCCCGGTTACACACGGCGTGTATATCGTTTTCTGTTGCTTCTGCAATGTCCTAGGTAGGTCTCGACCTCATCGCTCCGGTCATCATTATACTAAGTTCTCGTTCAGTGACGGCGATGCTCCTCACTGGTGGATCTGCGGTTATCCAGAACTTGACTGGCGCCCCCGTAGCAGCTTCCGTATTCTTGTTTCCGATCGGTAAGCACCTAATGCCAGAAAATCCAAAGCTTTGAGTCGCCGTTCTGACTGTTGGACAGGCGTGGTTGTTTACACCCTTTTCGGCGGAATCAAAGCAACCTTTATCACGGACTACATCAACGGCCTAGTCATCCTCATCATTATCTTCATCTTTGCTTTCACAGTCTACTCAACAAATCATCTCCTAGGCTCCCCCGGGCGAGTGTGGGAAATCCTAACTGAACTTGCAGCTGAGCGCCCCTTGACAGGAAACTCTGGAGGGAGCTACTTGACAATGCGCTCCCAAGGAGGAAGTAAGTTCTTAAGTTCAAGTTTTGATACGACTCCACTCACAGTCACATAGTTGAGTTCTTCATCATCAATCTCTGTGGCAACTTCGGTACAGTGTTTTTGGATAACGGTTACTACAACAAGGCAATTGCAGCGAGTCCGATTGATGCCCTTCCGGGTTATGTTATGGGGTAAGGCCCTTGCGAAAAGTTATGAGAGTCTTGTGTTCTGACACCACTCTAGCGGAATCAGTTGGTTTGCCGTTCCTTGGCTCACAGCGACAACTATGGGTCTCGCCGGTCTCGCCCTAGAAAAGTACGAAATATGGCCGACATATCCGAACCGTCTAGCCGCTGCGGACGTTGATGCTGGATTGGTGCTACCCACCGCCGCCGTAGCCCTGCTTGGAAAGGGTGGAGCGGTTGCAACTCTCATACTAGCCGTGAGTAGTTCTTACAAGCTCGAGGCCATCTAGGTTGCTAACTTCTAGTAGTTCATGGCTATCATGAGCACTTACTCGTCTGAGCTCATCTCTGTGTCGTCCATCTGCACCTACGATATCTACAAGACCTACTTCAACACCAACGCTACCGGCAAGCAGCTTATGCGGATCAACTACATCGGCATGGGCGTCTTTGCTCTTGTCATGGCTGGGTTCGCAACTGGCCTCAACTACGTAGGTATCTCCATGGGCTACTTGTACCTCATGATGGGTGTCATCATTTCTTCCGCCGTCTTGCCAGCTGCTCTCACTCTTCTCTGGGATGGACAGTCTTGGGCCGCCGCCACCTTCAGTCCAATCATCGGATTCGCCCTTTCGATGACGGCATGGCTCGTCACAACGAAGATTAAGTACGGCGAATTGAGTGTTACGAACACCGGTGCAAACGAGCCGATGTTAGCCGGAAACTTGACATCGCTCCTTTCACCAATCGTCATCATCCCACTTTTGACTTTTATCCCACCTTTCAAGCCCCAGCAGTACGACTGGCAGAGTATGCTCAACATCCGACAAGCGGACGATCATGAGCTCGTTGACGCTGCTCATATGGATGTTGAAAACTCTCCCGAAGAGAGGGCGAGGGCACTGCAGAGTGATCCTGACGAGCAGGTCAAGCTCGAAAAAGCAGCCAAGACTGCTCGCTGGCTGACTGTTGGTGTGACACTCGTTCTGCTCATTCTATGGCCGATGCCGTTATATGGCACTGGCTATGTATTTGGAAAATCTGTGAGTGCTTGTTCAATATCCAAATAGACTGCTGTACTAATACCGTGTCGCAGTTCTTCACCGGCTGGGTCGTTGTAGGAATCACTTGGCTATTCGCCTCTGTTGTCATGGTTGTCTTCTTGCCGATCTTCGAATCTCGGAACACGATTGTGCGAACTACTCGCATGATGATCAAGGACCTCTTCGGCCTGAGAGGCAAGGGAAAGCCCGTCAGTGAGGGCATGTCGCCTGGCTCAAGTATCCCACCGGAGCTCACGGAGAAGGCAACGTCCAAGGCATAAAGTGTTCTTTAGTCGATCTTCGTAACTAAGGTTCATGTAGTACTTCAAGTATGTCACATATAAATGCTGTCCAGACATGATCTGCGCACTACCTAGTATCCTGTTCTAAAAGTTCTCGTTCGGAGCCACATGCTCCGATGCTGAGAAAATGCTCTTGGTCTATTCATTTCCGCATACTATCGGATGCCAGTATTAACAGAACGACAAATTGTCTCAGCAGGCTTAACTATTGAATGAGCCTTGATGCGAGTTTACAGGTAGCGACTCAACTAGGCGATGATTATTGGTGGAATCCATTCGTTGTGTGCGTCGTGAAGCCTTTGAAAAATTCAAAGATAGCCTCGACGGTTGCAAAGTCGAATGTGCCAGCAACATCTGGATTCACAACGTCAATCTACGAACATTGGATAATTTGAAGGTCTCTTTGAGGGAACTTACACTGATCTGGCCGGACGAGCACCATCGCGCCAACCTCCGGGTCAATGCCATATTTTACATATGCTTCTCCGTGGCCTGCATGGTAACTGACATCATCAACAAAAACATTTTGCAGGCCTTCATAATCTCATTAGCCAGAAGTACGTGTAAGATCGAATCGTTGGAGGAGGAGGATTTCTAGAATTGGTAACTTATGCAATATCAAGGTACTCACACTTGACCCCCCACCTTCCTGCGTTAGGAGTAAACAGCCGTGGTATCTGACGATCTTCCAATTTTCGTCGGTCAGAATTGAGCACTAAAACCAGATTCAAGAAGCTGTGGATATCATTTTGAAGTGTCGGAAGCTGTTTCATCGATACTTCAAGCGATTTTGCGACCTGTACACATGTTTAGCAGTGCTATGAGCCCGGTGATAAGGTGCTTTTGTGTTGCTCACCTGAAATAAGCATTTCGCTGCTTGAGCCTGCAAAACATCGCCAGGGAAGACGACCAAAGACCATCTCGAGTCCGCGCGTAGAGCATGCGAAAGTTGCATTGCTTTGGCATCAGAGAAGCGAACGACTTGCGCGCTTTGGAACCTCATTCCCACGCTGACACCAGACGCCAGGCTATCCTTGTGACCAGGCCTCACGAGCATTGACGGCTGATATTGCGTGGCTAGACCAGCAGTGTATCTGCCCGATTTGATAAAGTAATCTTGGAAGTCTTCAGTAGTGTACCCATTTTCTTTCCGGTACGCCGAAGAAAACATCTTTGCAAATTGCCTGTCAAAGTCGATGAGGCCCTTGGCGGTCTGGTGGCGTTCAGAGACGTACGTCTCCAATATTGAGGGATGGACGTGCTTTCGGAGGACTGCGGCGAGTTTCCATCCAATGTTGTACCCATCTTGAAGACTGACATTCATTCCTTGTCCAGCCTTAGGCGAATGTGTGTGGCAGGCGTCGCCAGTAAGGAAAACTCGATGATCTTTTGTGAAATGGTCCGCAAGCCGTTGCCCGATGGAGTATGCAGAGAACCAGGATGTCTCGGCTATTTCGACTTGGTAAGGCTTGAAAATGCCATCGATGCGCTCTTTGACTCTCTCAGGTGTGACTTCCCCTGGAGTTGAGACTGGCATTTCCATGTAGAACCTGACCATCTCGTCACCCTCTCGTGGAATGATGACCAAATTGCCCGAGTCAGACTGAATGACGCTTTTCTTCCGGATATCGGGAAAGTCGGTCCTGGGGTAGATGTCCATGACAGCCCAGACCACGTCACTGCTGTCGCCCACCATCTTGAAGCCAAGGGACTTTCTGACCGCACTATGGGCTCCGTCGCATCCCTAGGTTTGGTGATTAGTGCCGTCTTCAGCTCACACGCAACCTTAGCGGGACTCACCAAAGCATACTTGGCATGATACGTGCGCTCAACGCCATTCTCAATTGTCTTCACAGTCACGCAACGGGCATCTGGATTTCCCGCAGCTTCACTATCGACAACAACTTCACGTATATCACTTCCATACTGGATGTGTGATTGACCAGAAGACTTCACAATATCCTCGATCAAAATCTCATTGATGCGTGCCTGATTCAGAATCACATGGGGTAGATGGCTAAGACCAGGCTCGGTGTCTGGCTCGAGATGTGACCTGCGAATCCCGCCCTTGCCGTCGGGCGACCAGAACGCAAGTTCGAGAACGTGGTAAGCTTCCTTCAAGACGTCCTCGGAGAGGCCTAGGTGTTCAAGGATTTCGACTGTGCGAACTTGAACACCGTCTGCCTGACCTTGCTTGAGGGGACCTTCGCGCCGCTCAAGGATCTTGAAGTTGATGCCGCATCGGGCTAGCCAGACTGCTGCGCAGAGACCAGCTGAGCCGCTGCCGCAGATAAGAACGTCGTACTCTTCAGGCATGTTGGAAACAAAATGACGATAGTGAGATCCAGTGTAGCTTGTTTTCGATCGCATATGACACTTCTGATTGCTCGTCTTATACATCACTAGCCAGCCGAAGCTCCGAAATCAGCTACCGAGCGGGGTTAATAATTATTTCCCCGGAAGTCAACTTGTGCGGGGGATTGTCATGGGGGACATCCCTGCATACAAAGACGTTTCCTGTGCATCCGACCAGTCTTCCGAATTCCACCCGGGATATGAGGTCGGCACCGGACACGACACCCACCAAACTATTGAGCCTGTGGATCCGGGTCCGCGTGGGTCCTCGAGATACCGACGGGGCCACGGCAGGTTTTTCACAAAATGCAGGAGCTTCGGCCACAAGATATTCATTTGAAAGGATCGAGCATGCCGCCTTGTTGCGATCGTATCAAGAAAAGTATGGTATTCCAATGCTGGTGTATGACGAAACCTGCTTTGCCTAAGCGCTTATGCACCCCAATTTACCCCTCAGTTGCGCGCCTCAACACAGCATGACGCCCTGGGCCCTTGGCTGCAAACGCAAAATGAACAAGATGGGCAAAAAATGTAGCTAGATAAGGGCAGCTAAATGGAACTTAACCAGTCAAATTCTGCCTCGGCGGATCATATTTCCATTTCCACAATTTTACGTCATCAAGTACATGAAAGAATTTCTCCTACCTTTTCACTCCCCTGCGCGTCATCATTGCAAGTCTGCCATCCTCCAAAGCAACTGAATCAATCATTCAACAAATCATCATGTCTTCCTCCGTCATTCCCACTTCCACCTCTGTCGTCGAGAGCGCCGTCATCAAGGCTCCTCTCAGCCATGTCTGGCACTTCATCAAGCGTAAGTGCAGTAAAAATCTGGCCCAGGCAGTGGGTCAAGGATGAGTATGGGCAAACGCTGATATCGAGGTCTCAACAAATAGTCCAGAACTTCCAGAACTTCTGGTCTGCTCTGAAGGGCAGTGAGTTCGTCAAGGCTCAGGAGGAGACCGACATCGTCAGATGGACTTTCCAGGACGGCACCGTCCTCGAGGTCAAGCAGGAGGAGCACAGCGTAAGTTTCTTTGATCGCGGGGTTACTTCCTCATGATTGCAAACAGAAGACTACACGGAAACTAATTTCAACATTCAGACCATCAACCACTACATCACCTACAGCGTCATCACCTCCCAGCCTGAGCTGTCTTACACCTCTGTCGTCAGCACCATCCGCTGCTACCCCGTCACCTCCGGTGAGAACGAGAACAGCACCTTCGTTGAGTGGACCGGCAACTTCTCCAGCGACGCCGATGCTGGTGTCATCCAGGACGCCAAGTTCAAGCGCCGTGAGGCCCTTGCCGACCTGGCCAAGGCTGCTGCCAAGTTGTAAATGTTTAAAAGCAATGAGACTGGATTGTCAAATCGCTGACTCTTGCGCTTGCATCATCAAGGGAGATAGTCAAAAAAGTAAAAGATACCACTTGTTGTTCACAACTTCTTCCGCCCCTCATATTTCATGCTTGAATATCACAGTGACCTTCACATTGCATTCTAAATATTCAACCGAAAGGATTTGGAGTGAGACAAAGTGAGAGAGACTCATTGAAACTTGCCTCTATGAATAAGTATTTTGTAACAAAGTGGACACAAGCCATACTTCACTTCGAGTTTTACTAGTAATGAATAATAACTTATATGGGACTCGCACTGCCTATCCATTGAGGGCAGCTGCATTCTTGTCATCAGCTCGCAACTCATTTTAATAATCCCTCGCTCCTGCATTTTCTCTTCGATGAATTCTCCTTTCCAAAGTCTCCAACCTCATGCCATGCCCACCCTCCTTCTCAAATTCGCCAATCTCATCATCAACAAAGCTCTTAACAATTGCATGCCTACACTGAACTGCTGCCAATAGCGGTTTCGAGCCAATGGGTTCCGAGTTAGGCCAAATAGCAGTGACAGAGCGTATCCCACAACAGCGGCAACTGCCAACTTCTTTGGCCATGTCCGTCTCCTACGCCCGGCATGGGTCGGTCCCTTTGATATGTCAGCACTTTGCCGTTTCAAGTAACCTCGTCTCACTCGCATGCTTACACGTATTTCCAAGTCACCAAAGTCGGGGAACAAGCAGCGATACCAGAAGTACGCTTGAGAGTAAGGATAGGTCGAGCCGTTCCACTGCTTGCCGTCCGTTGTGTCCTTCAGATACCAGCTAGTGCATCCCGTAGACCATACGGTCTTTTGCATGTCGGCCTGCATCTGGCTGACATATTGCTGCTCTGCCTCTCTAGTAACTTCGACGGTCATTCCCTTGCCATCAAGCACCGGTTTGATGATGCGAAGTGCAAAATTAATGGAGTTTTCCGCTGCGATGATGGTGGACGTGTGGCCTGTGAGTGAGTTCGGTCCTAAAGTGAACTGAATTAGCAACCACCCTACCCCTGTATAGCATGTAGTAGAGAGCCTACCAAGAAGTACAAAGAAGTTTGGGAAACCGCTTGCAATCGTGCAATTGTAGGCCTCTGGGCCACCAAACGACTCCCAATGCTGGTCTATCTGCTCTCCGTTTCGACCAATGACATCCAGCCCCCCAACCGCATTGTTTGTTACGAAACCATTGGCCAAAACGATGACATCCGCCTCTGTGACGCCTTCCCGAGTTCGAATACCCTCTGGTACAATTTCTTGGATCGGGTCGTCTAGTAGAGTGAGATTTTCCGAGTGCAAGCTCTTCAAGTAACCTGAGTCGAAGATGCGTCTCTTGCAGCCGAGTTCGAAGTCAGGTATGAGCTTGTCATGATACTTCGCCGGCGCCGTTGTCTTCATGTACTTCTCAGCGTTGGCTCTAGCACGCTTGCGATACTTATTCCCATCATTCGTCATGTAAAACCCTCGCAATGTGTTTTCTGCCGCAGCGAAGACCAGAAATCTCTGCAGCGTCTGTGTTCCTGGCACATGCCTCAAGACATTCTTCATGAACTCTGTATTCTCGTTATCGACGGGGGGTAAGACCCAGTGCTTTGTGCGGATAGCTTGCGTGAGGTGCTTCGTCTTGCCTACAATGGCCGGTACGATTTGCGATGCAGTACACCCGTTCCCAATGACAACAACTTTCTTGTCCTGGATATCCACGGTTTGATCCCACCGGGACGAATGAAAGATGCGACCCTTGAAGCTTGTTGAACCGGGAACATCGATCTCCCGCGGCTGCATGAGTTGTCCCGTGGCAGCGAAGAGGAACTGACACTCATGCGCGAAGACTTGGTTGGTTTCGTAGCGACGGATGTTCATCCTCCAGCGTTTGCGTTCTTCCGACCAGACGCATTGCTCGACATTAACGCCGAACCTCATCTTCTCTATGAGCGAGTATTTCTGGGCCACATCGTGGAGGTACTGCCATAGCTCCTGTTGCGGAGGCAGTACTCGACTCCAGTCTGGGTTGGACTCGAACGAGAAGCTGTACAATGCGCTGGGCACGTCGCATGCACATCCTTTGGGTCGATGTCAATTACTGGCGTGTTTGGCGAAGCCCATACTCGTAAAGGGGACGTTACCTGGGTATTTGTTGATAAACCATGTTCCTCCAAGATCACTGTGCCGCTCAAAGAATTTGATGTCGCCTATGCCGTACCATCTTTTCAACGTAGCTCCCAGCCCGATCGCCGAGAACCCAGTCCCCACGCACGCGAACTGACTATAGGTAGGCGTATCCGAAGTTTTCGACATTTTCCGCATGTCAAATCGGCCTATGTATTGACACTGTTTTCGAAAACGGTAGCCACGAGTTACCGTCTCTGACTTCAGGTACACCTGTTCACTCTGTTCCCAGAAAGGATGAGGTCAAAAACTCAGTTTCAGGAAGCGATAAAACACTCGCGAAGGTTAGGATAGTGCGGGGGAGCATGTCGTCGTCGACCTTGGTCAATGGTGGGTAGTTCATCCATGCCTCGGCTCGTCCCACGTTGGGCGTGGCCATCTCGTCCGAGGGTGGCAAGCATATGCATGCTACTACGACGTCGTTGTGAAACTCTGTGGGAGCTTCTGAGAAACACCATGACCTAAGGGACCTCGTTTGATGGGGGATCGCCCTAAAGTGGAGAGCTACGGCCCGGGGATGAGGGGAAAATGGAGCTGGTCGCGGAAGGGTGACGATCCCGCTCAGGACTATTGGGCCACCATGGTTCTTGGCAGATCGGGAGCACACGAGCTATGTGAGAATACAACGGTTCGCGGCCGGAGCGCCGGGGTAACGGAGATGTTGACGCCCCGGTCCATCTCGATCCGGTTGAATTCATCCGATTGGGGGCCCTTGGAGACCCATCAACATATCTAGCGAGCGGCAGGTCTCAGCTCTTTGGGCATGCATACTCTGTAGGTCTGACAAGTCAAAATCTTGACACGATTCGACGGGGAGGAAGCGGCAAGTTGTGGCGAATTGGTGATTTTCCGTAAGGGTCATATTTGGTTACGTTGAAGATGTGCATTAGTTCCGGTCTCTCTACATCTAGAATACCGAAGACAAAGTCCAACAAATTCACTTCTCCGCAGGTTCTACCATCTCAAATTGACCAGTTGTGTCATCAATCTTTTGCCTTGGCGTATACGCGATATCTTTCGCGCTCGCAGTAGTCTCCCTCGCAAGACGCCACAACCACTCAGGACCAGCTCGCTGCAAATCAGTCACGTCAGTGAAGTCCAAAAAGTCGAGGAACGCACAGAACTTACCAGGGCTGTCACAGATGACATTATACCGGGCAGGTAGATCGTCCGTCCGAAGCCACTGTAAAGGGAATTTACGATGGCCTCTCCTACCGAGTCCACATGAAGGAGCGGCATCATGAAGTGAGGCTGACCGGGGTCAAAGGGAACCAGCGGCGTTCGGATGAAGCCAAAGATTCCAAGCGTTTGACGAACTTTTGGCGCTTTGTGAATGTATTTCAGCTCAAGTTGAAGTGACTGGGAAGTGTTAGCGGTCGTCCCAGCGCTCGACAAGTCAAAAAAAGTAGCATTTACCTCATGCATTGCGGTGAGCCCAGCCTTCGTGGCAGAGTAGTCAGCAATTCTCACTGGGGGAACCACCGAACTCATCGACCCGACGTTGACGATATGGCCATGATTGATGCGAACCATGTGCGGCAAAAATTCCTTCGTAAGCAGGAAGGGGGCGAGCAAATTTGTCTTGATGGTCAACTCAACGTCTGCGTACGAGCCTTCCATGACGCTGTAACCCCGTGCGATTCCCGCATTGTTGATGACAACGGTAGGATCGCCGACTTGAGTTCGGATCAACGTGCAAAGAGTCTTGAGCGCTTTTGTGTCGGTCAGATCACACTTGAAGAAGTGGATGTTGGAACCTTTCTGAGGCTCCCATGATAGCGGAGCCAGGTCGACAACAACGATAGTCGCCTGGGGGTTTCTGGCCAAGATATGTTTGATGATACTGTGGCCGATGCCGCTGCTGCCACCGGTGACAACAATTATTTCTTTGTCAAAATCCCATGTGTGGTCTGTCGTCCAGTTGTTTGCTGACCATTTGTTGAGATACTCGGTGGTTGACAAGACGAAGCTTGCTAGAGCCGCGAGGACCGCAACGCGCTGAGCGGTGTCAAATCTGATGTCTGAGAGTCCGACCGCTCCGTTCTTTTTTGCTGATACCACCGCCAGTCCAGTTGCAAGCGGTATCGAGAGGTATGGATTGAGGACAGATTTTCGGAGCCATCTGGCAATCACGTCGACCGTGAATCCTTCTCGTGAGGTCAACATGGTGCAGTTGTCACTAGCGTCATCAATCTCACGAGACAATTGAGATAGATAGGACTTTTGATCATTAAATGAAGCTTGAATACTGTTTGGGGTTGGTATTTTAATGTTCTGGGCGAAACTGTCACGTTTCAACGTGAGCCGAGATCGACGCCAACAGCTTTGGAACAATCCCTCCAAAGTGAGGAGCCGAGGTCCGGAGCCACTTCCACGAGATCAGACCAAGCGACTTGATACCCCAATCTGCACGAGCATGAGGTTTGGAGATCCAAGCTTCCTTTCCCTGCACGTCAAAGTGAGGGGCATCCCCCACGCAATAATGCAAGGGTCTAACCTGAAGAAGCACCATGATGCTACGTGGGAGACCGGTCTTTGTGACGAGTTTAAACGAGTGCGAACTACCTTGTCGGCCAATTCACACCAAGCCACTGTTACCTCTGCCACCCTGAACAATCTTGAATTATGCCTCGGTCGGAGGCATCGGTAGTTGGAGCGTCTCTTCGGTTGCCCGTGCCTCCTGCGGATTCCTGCGGACAGACTTGTCAGTGACATTCTGAGCCACATTTGCGTTTCTTGTCCATGTCAAACCTCCTGTCTGAACCTGTCTGAACGTTGCTCCAGACTTCCAAAGCCACCCTGCGCTGTGCGGTGGTGGTTGCTTACTCACTTGCCAGTTACTCGTAGCACAGCCTTTGCTCATTTCATTTATGTCGGCCATACGGCTGGATCGTAGACAGCTTTGACACCAGACGAACCGAATCCTTAGGCACACTAGTAGACTTCTTTCCGGGTGCGATCATCGCGTGCGAGTGCGACTGAGAAACGAGAAAACATGTCGGTATCGAGACCGCAGCTTTCGCTGTGGGAGAAGAGAGACTTGGTCTTTCGTTTGCTATTCCGTGGTATGTCTCGCCTTCAACATGGCTACTCCTTTACAGCGAGGCATTGAATGGTGACTGACTCCGTGTGTTGATAGCTCCGATACAATTGGCGTGGAATTTCTTCTACGGCATCCCGTTTGCTATCGCGAGAGGCGTCTCTATCCGCTTCTTTGCCTTCTGCGCGTATTATCGTTTCGCTTTGGGGTCGATGAGAGCACGCGAAATACAATTCCTCATCCCTCCTTCGATCAAGACGTACGAGAAATGGATCGCGAAAAAGCAGAAGCGTCATCCAGAGCTCGTGGACAAGCTGCAAAAAAAGATCGAGTCTCTCCCTGCTAATGACGGCTCGATCTTGTGGATCGGCAATCGTCAAAAGGCCACAAAGTTTGTGTTGTTTTTCCATGGCGGTGGATACGTAGTGCCTCTTCTCCCCGGCCATCTCGACTGGTGCTGGAACGCGTATGTCACCGGCGGCCCTGGAGCTCACGCAGAGGTTGCCGTTGCTGTCTTGCAGTACACTCTCGTCCCCGAAGCTCGATATCCCACACAGCTCCGTCAGGCGATCGCGGCGTTCAACCAGCTCATCCTATCCGGCATCGAACCCAACGATCTCCTCATTGGCGGCGATTCGGCCGGAGGCAACCTGGCGTGCTCCGTTGTTCGCCACATCTGCCACCCATGCCACCTCGAGATCCCGGCCCTGCGCCTGGAGAACCGTCTTGCAGGTGTGTTCCTGGTGTCGCCCTGGCTTAGCAGCAAGACGACGACGCCGGCTTTCACAGAGAACAACTACGTCGACATGCTCACCACGACATGTATGTCCCGTGCCACGGCCGAGCTCCTTCACCCGCGATTCCCCGTGCGGAATAAGTCCGACGAGAGCGATCTCGCCATGGCGATGCCAGTGGACGGCGACATGGCGTGGGTGGATGAGATTTCTGCGGCGACCAAGAGTCTGTACATCACTGGAGGTCAGCAGGAAGCTTTCAGAGATGATATTCGCGCGTTCTCGGAGCACGTCAGCTGTGGCAATAATGATCTGGATCTGCTAGTCGAATTGCCGGAACGCGAGGCTCATGATTTCATCTTGCTTGAGGGTCAGACGGGGCGTGTGGGCGATGCGACGGTGAGGATGAGAAATTGGGCGACTTCACAGTTGGGCACCGGGCGCGCTTCAGTGTAATGTAGCATGACAGGGGAGATCCACACTTGTATGAGAGGTGGTGGTGGTGGTAGTGGTGAGTTATTCGCGCCAATAAACTCATTGATTGGTTTATTCGCGAGCGAACAAATTGTGATTCGATATGAGAGAATGAACATGTGCCAGCGTATGTTGAGGAATTGTATTCGCGTGCATTTCGCTGTAAGCAATGGAGGTTGAGAGTGAGATTGAAGCTTATGATTGTGAGACTGGTGAGGGGTCTTTTTCACTCGCTGTCACGCTTCCAAGCTGTAACAATGTGAAATTTCACTGTTCATCGCAGTGCAGTGAGGCAATAAGTGCTCCTGAGTCATCATATCCAAACCCTGGCTTATCTAGTGCCTTGAACCCCGGTTCTTATCCCAGTCAGAATGAGCGGTCTGGTCGAATTAGAGAAGGCATCTTCTGCATCTGTCCGCACCACCTGCTTGAAGAAGACGACAAGTTGCCGACGGTCTCGCCAAGCGAGGCCTATTTTGGCCGCTTTGAGAGCGGGGTGGAAAGAAACAGACGCGTCGCGTCCACAAACTCCAGGCAATAGACGGCACAGCATCTCGTCGAGGCTTTTTGACATATAACACATTCTGCGGGGCATTTTGAGTGCTTACTGTTCCTTCACAGATTGTAATAATACTGTGAGTCTCAGGAAACATACCACCAAACTCTCAAACTCACTTTGCTCACTTACCCCTCATATTTCAGCCGTGGCCATCGTCAGCGAGATGCCTCCAGATCAACCCCCCCTCAACTGCGCCTACAACCGTGACGATGTCGTCGCTGGCCTTACTCAATACTATTCGGCCCTCACGCGCCTCGCCTACATTCCATCATCATACGTCGACTTCCCACCGCCAGGAGGCTGGACAGATGCCGATATAGATATCGGCGCCCTGCGCGCTCTGCGACGCTCCGAGGTCGTTATCGACCTGCTGCGCCATCTCCCCTACGCCAGACCGATGCACGACGGACCTCGTCCGGGCCCCTGGAACGTCGCACCACAAACCAAGGCTGTGCGCTATCTCCGTCACATGGGACACTTCAGCCAGTGGTCCGATCGCGGCGACGCGGGGCTTCATGAGCTCGCTGCCCTTCCCACGCGCGACACGGGAGCCGCTCCGATGGATTTGCCGCCGGATGTTGTCTGCCTCACGTATGGAGAGTACCGTTCTTCCAGTTCGCGCACGAAGCCTTACTGGTGGATCATAGACTGCAGCCGAGGTATCCTCACGCCGTACGAGGAGAACCTCTACACTGTTGGAAAGGTCCCGCGTAACAAGCCGTGGCGGTGTGTACGGTCGTACTCTGTTACAGATTACTTCTCTCAGCTTGTGTCAAGCTTAGGTGTTCAGCTGTTCCCCGTGCCGCCGACCGAGGACGACGACGCTGAGATCCTCGACCCGAGCGCTCTCGCCAAGTCGTCGGAGCCGGTGGACATCTACAGCGCCCACGGCTGGGGCACTGGCGACCTCGCAGACTTCAAGCACGACGAGTGCATCGTCGCGCTCCAGGGCTGGCGGCGCCGGGTACACGAGGCAGAACAGAGAAAGATTGCTCAGGACGTTGATGACGCAGACGATGAGGACTTTGAGATGGATGACAGTGATGACGATGAGGATGCGGCGCACGAGGGAGAAGCGGGCGACGGACTTGCTGATGCCGTGGCGGATATGGAGATGGATGATTTGAGTGCCGAAGCTGCTGCTCTAAGAGCCGATATGAGCCCAGAGGAGCGTGCAAAGTTTGATTGCAGACAGGCGCAGTCGCACTTTGAGTGGATCGACGAGGAATGATTGAGATGCAGCATGCCTTATGAAGCCAAGTTTGTCATTCATTTGCAGCTAGTAGATGAGATATAGAACGATGCCAAAAGATAATGACCACGCCCACACCCCTGTAAGTCAAGTTCAAGATCCAGGTACAAGTCAAGACAGACTCGCATCACATCTTCGATTCATGCATCACCCTCTTCACCTCATAGTCCCAATTTGGATCGCTCCCCTGACTGTGCTTCTTCAACAAGGCCATCGAGTTACCTCGCAGAACGTCAGGCGCAAGAACTGACCCCCTCGGATGAGATGCAACAAACCCTTCGTATGAGAGAACCTGGAGCTCAATCAGCGGGTCAGGGCAGTATGGGAAGTCCGATCCGAATAGAATGTGAGACGGATCGGCAAAGTCGAGTAAGCCACCTAGCTGTGTCGGGCTGGAGCTCAATGCTGTGTCGTAGTAAAACCGAGCAAAGTCCGCTTGAGCAGTCTCGTAATCCACAGCGACGACATCTGCGAGAGCTGGGATGTTGAGTGTTCCCAGGACACGGGTGGCTAGGAATGGAAGAGTTCCTCCGGCGTGCGAGAGAATGACGTCGACATCAGGACAGGCGTGGAGGGTCCCGGTCAGGACGAGGTCCACCGCAGCTCGGGTAGTTGCGAGTGGGTAGTCGACGATCGGCTGCGGGAGAGTTGAAGCTATGAGCTTCGGCGTCACGTCGAGGCCCGTCGGGTGGAGGAAGATGAGAACCTTGTGAGCTTGAAGCTTCTTCCAGATGGGCTTGAAGGCTGGGTCACCGAGGAGCTTGCCCCCATAGGATGTAAAGACGGTTACACCGTGGCAGAGTCTTTGCTGCTGGTAAAGAAACTCGATTTCTGATACTGTGCCGTCGACGTCTTGCCAGTCCGGTAAGACTCCAAAGAACCCCAGACGTTTCTCTGTCGATGACTTGTTGATCCGGTCTGCGAGATCGCTATTCAAGGTACGTGCAAGCTTTCGCCCGTCTTCACCACTTCCCGCGATTGATGCACCGGGAGCGGAGACTGATAATATGCCTAGCCATGCCATTAGTCGAATGAAGGAATGATACAGTCGTTTCCCCTAATTTATAGAACTTACCTATAGATGTGCTGATGTTATCCATTAGCTTAACGGTGGCATCTAGGGACCACTCAGGCGATGGAAACCCGGAAGGGTCGCCTCCTGCGGCATTCACAGCTGCAAGGTATGCCGGGGGAAGGGCGTGGATGTGTGTGTCGATACGTCCCGACATGTTGAACTAGTTTTGATTCTTATTCAGTATCATGGAACTTTTTGAGTTGTATACTCATCTTGTTAAGTACATCTCATGAAGTGTACAAGTGTTGTGGCAACCACTCCTAAGTCCCCGGCCAATACACGGAAGCATAGTGCCGATGGCCGACCCCTCTCGACACCGAGCTGCCGAACTCAACCACTTTGGTCGTCATTGGCTGCCCCTAGTGGTCGGCGTCAGATATTCACTAGCTCCGACATTTGTATCAGGAACGGCATTCGGTGTGTACAATGACCGCGAGCAATTTTTCACTACGCCAATATCAGCTGTGACGGTGTTTAATTCGGTATATTTCTTACGCGCGACGTTGAAGTCCTCAAAGCCTGAATGCCTGTTTGACAAAAGAAATCGACTGTGAACGCAATGGAGCCACCATGCTAGATAATAGGTAAAGAGATCTGCATGGCACTGAATATGTTCCTTGCAAACACGGTTCGCCTACACCGTAGAGGAATTTGATGGAAGCCATGTATGAAATCACAGGTCGAGCTTCAGTCGAATTTGCATGCCGGATCTTCCACATCATGAGCTTGCCGTTACGTAGGAAATTTCTATCCATTTCGGACGACTATGACACAAAGTTTGACCACCTGAAGCTATGACCTGGCTCGAAAAGTATATGTTGTGTGATTGCCTTGGAGCTGCGTTTCTCAGCATACTAATTTCTTGAATTATCGTTAAAAAAAAGCATCTAGAGAAAACTCGTCGTGATTCCGATGAGCTCGGTTCACCAGCTTGCTCGTATTTTCCGCGTCTATAGTCGTTTCTCAGGTAGCACTGGCAATGGTCACGCCTTCAGCTTGGTGAGCGAGGTGGAAGCAAGGAGATAAATGTGCAAATCCCCCATGTAGAGACATCGCTTGAAAAGGGGCGGTTACACTCATGAACCCTAGCCGTTAAAATGCTCAAAAAGAAAGAACAGCAAACGGCGGCTCTAGGCCGAGAAGATCATCACTCAGAACGTCATCAGGTCTCCCTTATGTAGTGCGACATTGCTTGCCGTACCCGCTTACCTCGCCCAGCGCTCAGCAAGGTCTTTGATACCTCAGCAGGCTTTCATATTGGTCTTCCAACCAAGGAATCTTTCCATCCCTAGGTACCTATGGGCAGCGGCCGAGAGCTCCCGCTTGTGAGGTTTATCCCAGCTCTTCAATCCACATTTCAGCCAGTGTTTCGTTTGCCATCTCTGCGTGCGCTCCATCACAAGTCACTGGTGACTGATGTTCGTGCGGGGTTACATTATCCGGGATTCTGCAGGGCTTCGCAACTAAGACATCGTTGGAGATTCTTACCATATCCAACGACACACGGTATCTGTAGCACCACATGCTGGAGCTGACAACTGACCATATTTCTGACTACCCTATGAAGAGAGTGAACGCCATAACATTGGCTGTCTTGAAATAACGGCTGAAAACGTCTTTTGCTCAGCCCAATTGCATACCTGGCTGCCTTCCTATCATGTACATTCTACCGACAATCATGCATCGGCCACTCCTTTGCCCCTGCTAGTGCTTACTCACTTGGCTCAATATCGGCCCTCATTACCTATGATGATCACGACTTTCGCTTAAATGAAGCTGGGAAAAGCGTAATTTTTCTGCTGCTTGTGTATGAACTATTGTCAAGGTCGTTAGACCTCTTCGTACTTCCTTCCTTGAGCATGGAGATCTCCGACCAATTCAAACTTGACCCCCTGTCTACCTCACGATCAATTCGACTAGTAGTGCTCCAAAGAAGCGCGAAGAGAGAACCTTTTAAAGAACCTCTCAGCTGCCGCCTTGTAGAAGCGAACGTGGACTGCCCGCCCTCATACGTTGCGCTATCTTATACCTGGGGCGGAGAAGAGCCGTGCGAACCGCTCACAATACGAACCTCTGGATCATCCACCAAACAATTGTTAATAACTCCTAACTGCGCTGTAGCACTGAGGTTGTTGCGTCGATCCCTTCAGCGAAAATCGAAGAACCGCCGTAGCTTGAGTGTCTGGATAGACGCCATCTGCATCGTCCAGACATCCGACGATGAACGCAATGCTCAAGTGGCCATGATGGCCGAGATCTACCAGCGCGCAAAAGCTGTAGTCGTTTGGCTTGGAGAGGATCATGCACCAGCAACTTGGGGCAGTCTGGCATGTTCGAAGCCTCTGGCCTTGTTCCCACGTCCGGGGTATGATCGCGGTCGTAATGAAGGATTAAAGAGCTTAGCTGCCAGAATAGCTCTGAAAGGTACGATGCCGCACATATCCTGATCATCAAATTTTCTCAGCGACCTCTAATCAAAGAAAAGTTTGCAACAATGATACGCTACATCACTTGAGACTATCACCCTACTGGACACGGGTATGGACGCTCCAAGAATTCGCCCACAAGAACTCCGCCGTCCTCTGCCGTGACTCCCGACTCTTCGTCTTCTCAAGCCTTGCCCGTCTCCTCGCAGTGGCACCAAAAGATGAGAGCGTACCAAGTCAGCAGGGCATGGACCTACATGTGGACCTCTACGAATGGCAAGCAATGGCAACGGTACGGCCGTTCCGCGCAGCAACGAATCAACTTCGTCGCGTCCTTACAATGCAAGCCTCAGAGCCGCGAGATAAGATCTTTGCGCTACGGGCACTGTCCCCAGGTGTGCTCGGCAAAATGACGGTGGACTACCGGAAACCTGTCGGAGAGGTCTTTCGGGACGCAACGAGGCTTATGGTTGAAGAGGAGGATAGCTTGCGGGTACTGTACTTTTCTAACCGGAAGAAGACGACGGCCGGTGTTGCGTGGGAGACCATGCCGTCGTGGACAGTGGACTTTGCGACTACGGATTCTGAGGTGAGGGGGTCGTATAAGTACTACTATACCAGTCTTTGCGCAGCTTCTGCCGGCGCCAAGTCGTATTTCACGTTCTCTGGCGACGGGAGGAGACTTACTCTTCGAGGGGCACGTGTAGGGAAAGTAGGGAGTTTTGTGAGCGACAAATTTCCTACCAAGAGCCAGTGCTCTGAGGGAAGATGCCATGACCATGACAAGATGATGGCAGACAAAGACGAAGAGTGTGAGGAGAAGCGACCCTTTCCGCACGTCTGCGAAAGCCCGTATTTAGATGTACTCGGCGACTTCATGAGGAGCGTTACGAGCACCATCTGGGCAGGACCCAAGCTCGACGCTATGGGCCGCAGTCTCTACGAGTTGCTATGGTGGATCATTCAAGGGCCAAAGAAGCATGAATGGTCGACATCCATGTCATCAACGTCAACTTCAACATCCACATCATCATCGTCATCTTCCAACAAGGCGGTACGAGGTATGTCAGTCGTCTCATCACTCGTCAAGTGGGACTCGCGGCGCGGGTGCCAGTGCCGAGTCGAACTCCGGCTAGGACGTTTGTTCTACACGCTTGACAGGAGGGCTGGATTTGGAGTTGTTGGCGTTCGGGAGGGTGATGACGTTTGCCTCCTCGCTGGGATGGATCATCCGTTCATATTGCGGCCTTGTAAAGGTGAGATCGGAAGGTATACGATAGTAGGACCAACGGTGTTTGCTGGTGCGATGGGCGGTGAGATGTGGCCGACCGATGAGGATGAGCTCGAGTACTTTGAGGTTGTGTAAGGCACGGTGTAAGAAATTGTGTAAAACTATATTAGAGGGTATGAAGCATTTTCTCGCGACATTTCCAGATGGCAGGAACATCTGTTCAATGTTAGATTAGTAGTTGATTATACAGACGTGTAGAAGTGATTGATGAAGCTCCGTAGCATGCTCTCTACTTTCGTGAAGAAGCGCGTCAGAACTCAATACCTCGGCCCCTGAAGTGCCAGTATCTGCGATTAGACTTTCGATAGGAAATGAGAAATCCTTCACGACGAGCGGGCACTAGCTTTGTGAATTGACTCTGGCAATTCAGCATCGGACCTTTCCTTCGGGCAGTCCGACCGAGTCAATCATCTGAAGAGTACATGCTTTGCTCCCAATTCTCCAAGCGCGGACGTACAAGCCATCTTGTAGTCCATCCTCAAGCCCAGCTTCAAGAATACATAAGAAGCAACAGCCCTGTCGAGGCTGACAACAAATGACGTTGTACTGGAGTTCTCCGTATGTGCGTATGTGCGTCGTACGTGCGGTGTGCCCCTCTTTGTACAACACATCAACTTGCCAACAACCATTTTCTCGCTGATGCCCCGCCACTAAGCCTCGTCTCGGAGCCTCACTTTAGGGGTGTTGCCAGTTGAAGAGGTGGGTTAATTGACTTTAGGCTGTGCCTTCATGCAAGACCATCCCTGACTCTCACCAACCTAGGATGAGTGCTCTTTTTGAAAAAGTGCGCCCAACGGCCCCCCGCCGCCGATGATGAAAGTACGGTTCGGACGACTCTGAAACCCCAAGTGAAGCACCTCAAAGGCCGCCAAACGACCCCTCCAACCGGAACCAACACCAAGTTGCCAACCCCTCTTCTGGCGGAAATCTCATCGGCCTCATCCCCGTACGGCACCCAAACATCCGATCCAGAGCCCTTTGCCGCTTCCCACATGATCATGCGGGAAGCTCCTGAAAGTGTAATGCGAATTGGGCTATTGGAGGACGAAGAAGAGAGTCAGGGTATAGCAGACAAGCAGACTCTCTCTTTGCCCACTGATATATGGGCCAGTCTGTGCCCGCATGAAAGTCGTTACATCGAATGACATCTTTCCCTTCTCTCCCCCCTGGGCCTCTCCCTCTGCGCTCTCATTCCATCCATCCCATCTTCTACTCATCGCAGGCTTGGCGCTTTTACGCGCATAACGCATTTTCCTCACGAGCTTCCATCATCAGGCGGGCGATTTTCAAAGAAAGAAAAAGATGGCGAGACTCACAAGCTGGCTTCTCCTCTTAGCATGGGGAGGAGCAGCCTCCGTATCGGCGCAAGGCCTCCACGAGTTGGCGGTGAAGTCGGGGAAGCTCTTCTTCGGCACGGCGACGGACACGAACCTCTTCAACGATGCGGCGTACATGGCGGTCCTGAACAAGACGGGCGAGTTCGGCCTCGTGGTGCCGGAGAACAGCCAGAAATGGGACGCGACGGAGAAGACACAGAATGAGTTCCAGTTCACGAATCCGGATTCCGTGAGGGCCGTCGCGCAGGCGAATAAGCAGATGATGAGATGTCATGCGTTGACATGGCACTCTCAACTTCCACAATTCGGTGCGTTCAGGCTCGTCCTTGAGCTTAAAGCCTCGAACCTCGAACTCAATACTGACCAAAGACCACAGTCTCAACGGGCACCTGGACCCCAGAAACCCTCACCCCCGTAATCCAAGCACACATTTCCAACGTGGTAACGCACTACAAAGGCGCCTGCTACTCATGGGACGTCGTCAACGAAGCCCTCGCCGACAACGGCACTCTCCGCGACAGCGTCTTCTCCCGCACGCTCGGCGCAGACTTCATCCCCATCTCCTTCAAGGCCGCCGCGGCAGCCGACCCGGCCGCGAAGCTGTACTACAACGACTTCAGCCTCGAGTTCAACTCCCACAAGACGGACGGCGCCGTCAAGATCGTGCAGGATCTCAAAGCCGCAAACGTGAAGATCGACGGCATCGGGTTCCAGTCGCATTTTCAAGTCGGCAAGACGCCGTCGCAGGATACGCTGAACAAAGTCATGACGCGCTTCACGGATCTGGGGCTGGAGGTTGCGCTTACGGAGTTGGATGTGCGGCATGATAAGTTGCCTGCCGATGATGCCGCGATACAGCAGCAGGCCAAGGACTACGGCACCGTCGTCAAGACGTGCGTGGACAATGCAAAGTGCGTCGGCATCGTGGTATGGGAGTTTACGGATAAGTACAGCTGGATCCCGTCCACGTTTTCGGGGGCTGGGGACGCGTGCTTGTTCGATAAGGATATGAAGCCCAAGCCAGCGTATACGGCTGTTGCGGCGGCTTTGGGAGGGCCAGCAGTAGCAGCAGCTCCGGTGGCAGCACCGGCGCCGGCGGCTGGGGCTCAGGACGCGGAAGTGGTGCTGTCGTCGGGAAGCAGTGAATCTGGTGCCGGGGCCGGGATTGGGGCCACCGTTGCCGATGCCGGGACCGAAGCCGAGGCCGATGCCGACAGCGGAGCGGGGGCATCCTCAAATCCAAAGGTGAAGAGCAATGTGGAGGCAGCGACCAAGTCACCTTCCTCTTCGGGAACACCTCGCTTTGAAGCAGTGCTGCTGATTTCACCGCTGGTAGCCACCGGTATCGGCTGGCTCTTTTGGTTGGTGATATGATCTGTTAGACGCTTCATTCTTGTTACTTAGCTTTTTCTCTTGATGGCACAATTCTTGATACCAATTGACAATATATCTCCCGGATCTTTCCCATCCCAGAACTTTGAGATCGCCGATAGCAAATCATTGAGGATTGACGTGCTTCGGCTGCGACGTTGCGTGTGTCAATGGGAGCCCGGTGCGCGGGTGGTGTAAGTGAGGAGATGGATGATGTCATGCCGGCAACCACCTCCACTGATAGAAGAGAGACCGGGGGGGCTGGTTAAGCGGATAGGAATCGGGATGATGCGATTTCAAAGCGAAGAGGGGAAAGAGAAATTCTGCCAAAAGACCGCGGTTCCCATCAATTGAGCTGTCCCGGCCATTGTTCATCAACCTGTGAACAGCATCCAAATACTGTGGACTGGAAATCACAGTGAGAAGCAGGTTTCTGAATAGCTTCACTATGGTGTACCTCAAGACACTAGTCGCCGCCGCCGCCAGCGCAGGCCTGGCCCAAGCTTCTCTCTCTGGCCTCGACAAGATCCCTCCTCTGGGCCTGGGAACATGGCTGTCCGACAAGAGCAAGGTCGCCGACGCCGTTGCCTTTGCCGTGGGCGAGGTAGGCTACAACCATATTGACGCCGCTCTCATCTACCGTAAGTTCCATCTCGTAACTCGCATGCCCTTCCTCACATGCTCACGCGAGTCAAACAACTCACACGAGTCATCCGCATCTCTCACTTCAAACCACTTTCATCGAGATCCATCGTCCCGCAAACTGACGACCCACCCCAGGAAACGAAGACCAAACCGGCAAAGGCCTCGCCTCCTCCGGCGTTGCCCGCAAAGATGTCTGGGTCACCTCCAAGCTCTGGAACACCGACCACCGCGCCGACCGCGCCGTAGCCGCCATCAAGAAGTCCATCTCGGACCTGGGCGTAGACTACCTCGACCTCTACCTGATCCACTGGCCCGTCGCCTTCATCCCCGACGACCCCAACAACGCCCTCGACCGCGAAACCACCCTCGTCGACACCTGGAAGACCCTCGAAGGCTTCGTCAAAGCAAACCTAACCCGCCACATTGGCCTCTCCAACTTTGCCAAAGCCGACGTCGAGACAATCTTGAAGGCGGCGGAGATCAAGCCCTACGCCCACGAGTTCGAAACCCACCCGTACCTCCAACAACAAGAGTTCGTAGACTGGCACAAGGAAAAGGGCATCGAGGTCATCGCCTACTCCCCGCTCGCCAACACGAACCCGACGTACAGTGACGACCTGCCCGCCATCTACCAGGACAAGTTCTGGGTCGACGTCGCCGCCAAGAAGGGCGTTTCCGTCTTCCAGGCCGTGCTGGCGTGGGGTATCCAGCGGGGCACGAGCGTGATTCCCAAGAGCACAAAGGACTCGCACATCATTTCGAACCGCAAGGCGCTCGAGATCGAGTTCACCGAGGAGGAGTTGAAGGAGATTGCCAAGCAGGATAAGAAGCACCGCTTGAGTAACCCGGGTGCCAAGTGGGGTGTCAAGCTATTTGCTGATTTGGATGATCCTGGCAGAAACGAGCCCACGAGCGAGGAGCTTTAAGCAACAGCTCGGGAAAACTAGAATATTGAAACGATTAAGGGCTATCTAGTGTTATCTAGCCTAGTCTCCAAGATGTAATCATCGCACGTGTCTTTCTTGTGTCTCTCGCAAGTAGATACAGAAGTCCAATTTGCTAGCTTTTGATATGTGCCACCTCCATCGATGAAACACATCGTTCTACTTGTTTAATCAGTGGTCGGCCCTATTGCAATGGGCATAATACTTCCTCCTAGCCCAGTAAAACCCAAGCCCGACAATCCACAGCACAATCAAGATGAGCGCCTGCACAGGAGCAAAAATAGCGCCTCTCACAACCACAAATCCACTGACCAGCGCAAACACAATGGGGATCAGTACAAATGGCTTGTACGGTCTACGCAGCTTCGGCTCTCGAACGCGTAAAATGACGGCACCAAGGACTGTCAAAAAGAAGAACGTGTACTCGCCTAGACCGTTGAAGGTCAAAAGGGCTCGGAAGTTGCCAAACAGAATGTACAGCGCCGAGAGAATCGTCGATAGCAAGAGCGCGTTGAGCGGTGCGTCGAATTTCGCGTGCACAGGCCCAGACGAAGCATCGGCGGACGAATCGGCTGGCGAGCTCTCCTCCGACTTGAATCCCACACGGCCTACGAAGCCGAGGAACTTGGGTAGCCAGTTGAAGTTTGATGCTGCGACGGTCATGCGGCCCGCGACGAAGGAGTTGCCGAGGAGGGAGCCGGCAACAACGAGGCAGATGAGGACTGCAGCGACGATGCCGAAGGCGGGGCCGAGGAGGCGGTTGATGGCGGTCTAGCTATTGTAAGCACGGGAAAGGAGTAAATTGAGGAGGTTGGTGGGCATGACTTACGACTGCCACGCTGTCGGTCGAGGCAACCACATTCCAGGGGAGAAGGATATAGTAGGCTGCATTGGCCGCGATGAAACATAGAATGATGGTCGGTAAGGCAGTGTTGATGGCCAGAGGGAGCTGGCGTGCCGGCTGCTGAAGCTCAGCAGAGACGTAGACGGCCTTGACAACGTTAGATGCACCCACTAATAGATACCAGGACGAACGACGTACCTTGTCCCAGCCAGAGTACGCCCACAGAGCACCGTAGAGCGCAGCAGAGTAGTAGCCAAGCATATCCCACGTCCCAACCTTGTTCCAGTCCAGCTCGCCGCCACCCGGCAAAGACGTCTTGCGGTTCCCGAACCAGGGCTTATTAAACCAGTCCCGTCCGCCAACGTCACGGTCGTGGTCCGATACTTGAAGGATGACGACGACGATGCCGGCAAGCACCACGGCAAAGATACTGGTAAACTTAGTCACGACAAACAAGTTGTTCAGGCGAGTGCTCGCCTTGGTGCTGATGGAGTTGGCGCCGTTCATAACGACGAGAATCAGAATCGAGAACAATTTGTGCGGGAGAGCCCCGGCCTGGTCGGTCACCCCACCGGCGGAGTAGATGCTCTCGACGAATACGATGCTGAGGATGGCGAGGGTGGCTGGCATGACGGCCACGATCCAGGTCCAGGCGGCAAGGAAGCCAAAGACATCGCCATAGATGTGCTGCAGGAAGGGCTGGACACCGCCTGTTCACATCGTCAGCGCTATCGTACCACACAGAGACTCGTCAAAGGGGGTTGAACTCGCCTTCACCAGGGATCGCCGTCCCCAGCTCAGCCATGGTACTCGCACCAGTCCACGCCAGGACACCACCAACAAGCCAAACTATGAGCGCAGCTCCGGGAGACGGGACATTTGTGTCAATGGAACCCGGAGAGGTGAACACGCCGCTACCAATGACGATGCTGATGACAATGGCAAACGCCTCGACGGCGCCGAGGTTCTTGGAAAAGGTACCGGCCCCGCGCTCCTCGGCGATGAGGACCGGAGGTTCAGGCCCATCGGTGCCGCCGTACTCATGATGGGGGTCTGCCAAGAGGGGCCGTTCCGCGGCATCTTCGGATTGTGTGTTGGACGGCATCTTCCCGTTTTCGTCTGCTTGCCAGCGAGGGACCGTTGCCAATTGGATGAGGGGGTCCGGAAAGATGTCGAGAGAATGAGGGACAGGGAGTGAAGGAGCTTGAAGCTTGGAGCTGGAGCTGGAGCTTGAGCTTGGAGTCACCCGACGAATCAGGCATAGTGTCTTTGGTGTATCGGAATGGGGATGAGCTCATCGATGGCCGGTACGTATCTTCGAAGAGATGGTCCAAGCACTGAGGTGGTCTGAACGCCGGGTCCGCTTTTACCAACCGTTCACTTGTACCTAGGCAGGAGGCGGCCCACTTTGGGCAAATTACCTAATGCAGAGGTCTACGGAACGCTGCGTCTCCGCGTCATGAGCTTGCCTGCCACCGCAAGTGGAATTCACCGGAGTGAATGCCGCCGGACCAGATCCCGTCGGAGTAACGTCCGTCGGAGTGGACTCCGGGATCATCATATCTACGTCTCATAGCTTCAATGAGGGGTGAGATGCTGTCAAGTTCCAAAGAGCATTGAAGTATCATGGCTCGAGTTCGCATAAACCAAGAGCATCATTCATGTTGCCTCGCGCACACGACTGCCTTGGCCCAAGACAGTCAGTGCTATGAGGATGCCAGGTACTAAGTACTGGCCGATTGACTCTTGAGACTCGTTCTATAGTTGAAGATCTACATTAGGGTGCTAGCAACGAAGATCGTTGAGCAAGTACTCAAGCGCTCTAGATGAGAAGTACGCTTGATTGACATTGTTGTACGCAGCATGTTGTTCTCCGAGATTCTGCAACGTATCATCGAGACTCTCAACTATGGAGCCCACGGCACTGTACACATGAGGCTCGATTCTAGCGAGCGAGAGCACTGACTGAATAGTCACGGAGGTACTCTCCTTGGGCAGTTGTGAGAGTGGTAGCTGGCGGCCAAGTGAGCCGAGAGCAGTGGCCATGCGTACTTGCCTGTCAGACCATTGAAGGGCTGACTGGGTAGCAGATTGAGGGTCACTCTCAAGAAGTGATGATGCGCCATCGCGCGCAACGGGTGACGTAGGTTGCTTGAGTCGGAAAAAGACAACAAAGTCACCACTAGATGTGGACAGCGGCGCCCAGAGCAACCCGGATATGGTACGAGCACTTGCAGCGATCTCCACATCAGGCAGTTCAGCCGCCACGTCTGTCGAAATGATGACAGATTCACTTCGGTATGGTTGGATACACCGCACAATCGCCGTTGCCTCTTGGTACAACTCTTTGCTAGGCTCTCCAAGTCTGCCAATCTCTCCTCTGGTAGACGTCAACGCAAAATCGGCGCCAAAGAGGCGCAAGAGGTCCTGTGACGCTGCGGTGCTCTCGGTGGGATATCGGATCGAATCGCGTCGAGCTTGTGACGATTCAACATGACCCAGCATAGAAGCGTATGACAGTCTTTCGATCGCGACCCCAGATGTACTGCCGATGAACTCGCACATTTGGCGTTTGGAAATGGGTAGTGGTGTTCCTTCGGGACTATACCCGTAGCAGACTACCAGCCCCCATCGCTTACCAAAGGCGTTGATTGGAATGGTCAAGAAAGAGCGAGCTTTGTAGTCCTCGGCCGCGAGCTCTTCAAAGAAAGTTGGCGAAGCTCTGTTGAGGTAGGATCGGTCCAGGTGGATAGATCCGTGCTGATGGGATCCCGCACGTTTCCAGACGAGTCTCGCAGGACTAGCATCGCTATCGTGTAGAATCCTGAGGTGACTCGGGAAAGGCGACTGATGGTTAACGTTGCCGGCGCGGGAGGGCTTCGTGAAGTGTATGCATCGCTGCGAGCCCCGCCATTCCCTGTCGGAGGTGTCGAGTATCGTTATAGCCATGAACTCGTCGATGCGATACAAAACGACTCTGTCGAACCCCGTGACCTCTTCCACTGTAGCCACGATGGTGTCGGGGACCGCCGCTAGACCTGCTATAGCGGCGAAGCATACCTGTATATCTGACATAATCCCAATCGCCTGCATAGTGCTCAACCCCACACCATCTTTTCCAACTCTCCTAGACATTCGAGGGGTTTTCGTCACAACGTCTCTCGTGTAACTTCGTTGACCCACTGGGGTGGCAGAGCCATCCTCGTGTGGCTCGAATTCGCAAACGATCGTTTCGGGGCCTGGAGAGTCCCTAGTAAGGTGCATGGAGCACCAAAATCTTGTAGCTTCGCCATGTTTGGGGATAATCGACAGGTTGAAAACAGCACGGCCACATGTAGCTCCTACATCGGATTTCTCTTCTCTGAGCAAACCAAGCCGAGCCATCAAGGTTCTCACATCGTCTCGCTCCAAGATGCTGCCAAAGTCTTCGAGTCCGAACAGGTCATCCGGGGAATAACCTGTAAATGTGGCCGAATTGTCGCTCGCGCAGTTGACCACGAGACGGCTGGCATTATCCTCGTTCACGATGAGTGCAACCAAGAAGCCAAAGTGTTGTATAGTGTTGGACGCGGGCTCGAGGATGTTATCGAGATGTTGGTGTATTTGGACATCGTCGTCGATTGGGCGTGCAGGCTGAGCCATAGCCGCCCCGAACGACTAGACTGTGCCGTGTCTCTAGCTTATCCGCCACATATGATGCCGATGGACCGCGTGTAGATGAATGCCGGATTGAAAGATGGTGTCAGGAAGTACGAGCGATAATTGCAAAGAACACAAGGTCTGCGAGTGATATGTTCGTCTGGTTTCGCTTGCATCGGTGTAGCCAGGCCTGCAATAATACCTAATAGTACATGCAAGCACTGACAGATGTTGATGCTTCGTGAAGAATATCACTCAACATCAGCGACCGTTCTGGAAAAAGACCGTGGCAAAATCTTCTTTCCTTCTGCCCACGGGAATAAGTCGAGTCATGAGCGCTGGCGCGTTTCTAGCAAATGCGCTTGGCGCCGTTCAAAGCGTTATTCGTGAGGATTGAAGAGGTCGAAAGAACTGACAGGAAGCGAGTGGCGGATCTCAACACACATTGAAGCCGATGTACAAACATTTGCCTGCGACATGTTAATCGAACTTCAATCGAGTCGAATCGAAAGAAGTTCGCCCACACGTGGCCGTAGCCATTTCGGGAAATGTACGTAGCCTGACAATCTTATTTCTGCGTCTTGCGCCTTCCCAGTTCCCGTCCCGCCTTCCCCCCGTTGTTATTCGCGACTCCCCGTCCAGAATGACCGGATGATTGGCGGCTTCTGACGTCACTGCTCAGTTTTCTGGATTCTAGACCCCGAGAGCCCGTTTATTCCTAAATTACCTAATGGCCGTATTTGGGACGAAAGAAACTGTGAGTGGTTTCGTCGAAATCCCGTTTAATATGTTGGAACAGCACAAGCCGGGCTGCACGGTTGAGTGGGTTCACGCATTCCGGGACAAGGCGTATCGCCACTATCAGACCGTTCAATAAGGATCATCATTATGAAGTCCAAGTCTCTTCGGGTATGGAGGAAATAAATAAAAACAAAAAGAGATGCTTCAACTAAGAGTTCTCTCGCTGACGCTCAGCGCATACTCCTAGAACGCCTTGCTTAAATGTCATGAATGCACTGCTCCCTTACGCCGCCCACTTCCATGTTTGCCTCCCAACAATCTCACCGCTAAATGCGTCTCCCCATCGTCTCTTGGGTTTGTGGACGTGCAATGGAAGCGTTCTTGCGTAAATGATGCGCATATAATAGTCCACAAACATTACAGAGTGTCCACCGACCGTCGGGTCCGTCCCTCCATTGCGGCGTGCTCGTTGCCTGGCAGGAGTGGCAGCAAAGGGAGTCGTCCATCACATGCTTCTATTATCGCGATAATTTAGTTCATGACATCTTGTTGACGGATTGGAAGGGATTACTGAGGGAAAAGGGAGCCTGCCACTTTTGAAGTGCGATCAAACGCCGCCACGGTGGAAGAGCGCCTTTTCCTGGTCGCTCTGGGGCTCACAGACTGTTGCCGATCTGCATCTGTGGTGCTTCTGTAGGACAGCAGCGCCAAATCATCCAGGTTGCTGGCGATGACCTCTGATAAACTCTGCGCAGCTAGTATTCTCGAGGTACTGCTCGTCGTCTCTCTAGAGCAATCGCCGCACTCGCAGCCGCCTTTTGAACAGGTGCCATCGACCAAACCCTGAATGTTTTGGAGCAACTGTCTCGCATCTTTGTGAATCTAGGACCCTCCGTGTAAGTCGCCGCTTGCACCGATCTAGAACAACAAGGGATGAACCGACATCGTCAACAAATTCGACTCACTCTTTGTATCATCCCCGTCGCCTTGATCTGGTCAAAGGACATTGGCGGTAGCGGCGAGTGGGCATCGTCATCGTCTGGCGCTGCATCGGACGCGAATGCATTCGCCGCCGCCTCTCCCTCCGCCTCCGCCGACATCTGCAACCCGAGCTTGGGCCATTTGTGGTTCAGCTGCGCATCAGATTTGACGGAAACCATGGAAAAGTCGATGGGATATGGATGGGAATGTCGATGGGAATGTCGATGTGTTGGGGATCGAGGTTTCGAGGATCGAGATTCCGGGTTTGCGATCACAGGAATCGAAGAAATCGAAGAAACCGATCGGGAAACTGCATGGGGACAGGATGGGAAATTGAACAAGGCCCAGGCGAATTCTGATTAATCGTGTGATGCAAAAGTTGGATGGAAAAGAGCGACAGGATCGGGTATTTGGCTGAGGGATCGGATGTGCTGAGGTACGACAGTTTTATCGAAATTCGATTCTCTCGGGGGCGACTTCGAGAACAGCGCAGTTCCTCCCATCCACCACCGTAATAACGAAGGCCACAGTTATGACGGACCGTTCTTAGGACCCTGCTTAATTGAGAAACTGACAAATTAGCGTGCATGCTATCCGTATGTATCCGTAATTCCGTATGGGCAGGCACCGCATCTTCATCCCTCTCTCCAACAAACTAACAACCTGGAAAGGGTAAGAAGGGGTCCAAGGGTCCAAAAACTGGGCTGTCTCAAGCAATCAGGGTCTTTAGGCAGTAAGGTACGTACTCAATGTACTTTACTCAAGTTTACTGTGCAGTGTACCGCGGCTAGCACCCGTCCTTGACTCTGGGTCGTCCGACAATGCACAATCTACTACAGTGGTTACTGTTTATGCACAATCTGACAATGTTATACAGAGGATTCGGCGACGCCGCTCCAAGAAATTCCCAGCAACAATTCAAGATAAAAGATCAGGGAATTTCCACACAGTCCTGAGGTTTGTGTTGGGAGCATCAGACTACTTTCCAATACTTCAACCCTATATTCATCTCTATGGCGCGGAGTTTGGCTTAGTTTTACAAACTCACGATACACAGCTGAGTCGGTACAATTCTTGAGTGCCACATTTGTGTCCGGCAAAGGTGTCATGGACACCGCCTGTTGCTGTATGTGCACGGCAGGTAGACTCTCACAAAGCTCCTGGGAGCTCACACTGTTATTCCTGCAGATGGACTCATCCGTCGGTTTTCCAGAGTTGGGCGCAAAGACTTGCAAGGGACTGCCTCTCTGGAGACTGGGAAGCTTGTGCCCTAGGCCCAGGCCCAGGCCGTCTTCCGTTTTCCCCTCTTCCGCAACTGAGACGGGCTTTGAAAGACCAATAGGAAGTGTCTCCAGGGTCAGATTACAGAGTCCTATTGGCGGAATTCTCTCCGGCTCGGTGTTTAATCTCTTCCATTCGCCCTTTGTCCCTCAATTTTTCTGACACCAGAGCTGGTCCCTTGACCCTCTGCTGCGCTGTTGCGTCACTGGGGGTCTAGACCCTCTTGCCGGTAGCGAAAACGGACCTCTTAGTGCGGTAAAAGAGTCCCTGACTGGGATTGGCAATGTCAGGTTGCTCCTCACTTCGTGACACAGTGGGCAACGTGTCAGCCAGAGGAGGAAGTTTGCAACATGGTGCCCCGTAACACCTTGTATTAGCTTACGAAGTTTATCACACTGGACAGAATACTCTTTCCTGGGCCAGAATTTAGGTGGGTGATACGGTGAGCACAGAGAAAGAATGAGGGAGAAGGGGATGAAAGCTTTGCGCTGTCCACTTTCCTTTGACCACCCTCTACTCCATCCAATCTTTCGCGGTTTGCCACTTCACTTGGACTATAATGGTCAGTAAAGTGGTGTTGCAGGAGAGAACATCTGTATTTGGTAAGGCGGTATCAGTGAGACAAGTGGGATGAGAAGAACGAGGGAGAAGGGTGGTTTGATTTGATTTGGTTTGTCTTCCCCATCCCCCCCTTTTCACAACCCCTCCTGTGTAGCACAGTGGCCCCGGCTTCGTTCTTGTCGTATTTCCCAGCGAAAGAGGATCACGTAGACCAAGCCCGAAGAGGAGAACCTTGAGCAACCTCTTCCTTTACTTTCTGACATGTAATATCATGCAGTAAACAGAGATTAAATCTACATCGGGTACTACTAACATGGCGATGTTCTATAAGTATATCTCTGCTTGATGATTCAGAGGAACCCAGTCTGTCCTGAAGTGAGGGCGTCTTTTGGTACCATGGGCCAGAGTATCCAAGTTTTTGGGAGATGATTGACATCGTGACACATCTTGTCCTATGGCCACACTAGACAAAAGTTACAGCAGTTTGGACCCTATGCCAGTTGACAAGTTTTCGTCCTGAAGAGAAATAATACCAATGATGTGATGCCTCACAGGCTTAGGTGCCTTGGTTCAAGAAGTGCCAAGGACTACACCTTGCTATTCTCTCCACTTTGCTGGGATCGTAACTCAGTGCATCATAGGACTCAGGCTGTGAACAGAAGGGTCAAAGAAAAGCGGCACAAGATGAGCACCATTCTTTTCTGATTGATATAGAAGAACATGTTCCTGCCAGCAGTTTTAATTACCTTCCAGTTGAAAAGATGCCACGATACAGGACTTCCTATTGTCAAGGTCCTTGGAAAAAGAAACATAACAAAAAACTTCATGCTCCATCTTCTAGTCAATAGCATAATCAAGGAAGCAGTAATATTTGTTGTCGTGTTTGTTGGAAGCATACGGATGAAAGTGCAATCCGCGTTGAAACTTCAGTCATGTATCTGTAGCATAGCCTGAAATTTACAAAACTTCTTTACAAACATGGCCTCAGAAGTTGATAGAGGAGTCAATACAGTTCCACAAGCAGGTGATGAGATACATCAGGTGTCAGAGGCCTTGAACACCATGTAGAGGTGGCAGACAGCATGAGCGGAGTTTTGATCGGGGGTAGGCACACTGAGGTCAGTGAGATACAGCTCTACCTACCGTTAGGGAGGCACAAAAGGAACGTCTTGAAGCTATTGGAGTTACGTATACGGATGACAACAATAACAAAAACAACAACAGATCATTGACGTAGGCCAGTATCTCTATCACTCTGCTCCATCACCAAATCACGCACGCCGGGCAAGGCTCTGTTAGCGTCGAAATCCCATCACATGGGGAACCTATTTGAGAACAACCGTGAGAGTAACGTTTTCGCGCCGACGAACCCCCAATCGTTGAGTCTTTCTTATGACTAGGAAGGGTACAGAAGGACACACAATCAAATTCCAATCCCAGACTCCCCAGCCAAAGCCCAGACACCCAAGATCCCTGACCCTCGGCTACCCAAAAACCCATTGATCCAAACTTCCAGTTTTGCAGTCCCATAACTCTAGCAAGCATCGATGAACGCCAATCCGAATCGAACAAATGTGGTATCATAAGGTAATCGTGAGCGCAACAGAGGATATCCGTACTCTAATCGCAACAATCATGGCAAACAAGTGATGAAAAGCGGTAAAATAGCCCCAGCGCAGGCTCAAGAAGAAAACGACATTGAGGAAGACGCCGAGACACGATTGCTGTGCCTGAGCCCTTGCTTCCGCTGCCTCATGGCATAAATCAGGCCGCAGACATTGCAAAGGGTACGCGGCCCCGCGGGTCCGCTACGCCACTGTGGTGTACATGTGGTGTGGCAGTTGTGGCAGACGGAGGGATCGGACATGTTCTGTAGCTGTTCCTCAGTGTAAGTGAATGTTCAGTGTAGCTAAACCCCACCGAGCTTCCATTGTGAATCAGGCTTGTAAGACGAATATTGTAATGAGAATAAGAAACGGACGTCGTCTGCCCAGAGAGATATGAGGAACATTCGATGAAGTTGCGGTAACTTACTGCATTTGAGTGATGGTTCCCGGCAGCAGCAGCATGCTCGGCTTGCCCATGTTGTTTGCGGCGGACCTTGCGCAAGTGGCTGGGGCGTCTCATTCGCAAGGTCGTCTCCTTTGACTTCTGTGAGATGGCCACCAACTCCGCCATGTCTCCGGTAATGTGCTGGGAAATCTTCTGCGCGTGTAGCAGCTTTGGGTTGCCAAGCAAAACTCCAGTCACCAGGCGGCCGCCCTCAAGCGCGGGTGCCCTGCTATATCGGAGCAAGCCCTGGATATTGCGAAGCAGGTTATTTGCATCGCCATGGACCTGTGTATATCAAGAGGGGGTTTGTCAGCACATGATGGACATGTTTTTTTTTTTTTTTTTTTTTTTTTTTTCGAAAATCGCATTATGAGGATCAAATTTTGGCAATCGCATCGGGTGGGTAGAACGCACTCTCTGAATGATTTCGCTGGCCTTGAGATGGTTCAGGGACATGGGCGCTAGTGGTTCGTTGGCGTTGCTGCACTCATTCTCGCTGGGACGGCATCGCCAAGTCAGGGCCGGCATGGGCGCGACAACATCTGCCGGGGTCCGGGCCATTGACTCTCTGGAAGATGGAATTTGGAACGGACTCGGCCGGTTTGGGAAACGGACTGGAATTCGTCAAAAGTCGGACGGACCAATTGTCGTGAACGTAAGAGCGGGGCTGCTGCCAGTTTTGGGAATGGAAAGGAAGTCTGTGGGTGACGTCGATGGGTGGAGGAGGCAGAATGTTGTAGAGATCGAGAATTGTGAGAGGGATCGAAAATGAGGGGATGGGGCCTTCTTCGTTTATAAAGGATAATCGAGCGTTGAAAAGAGGGGAAAGCACGGGACCGCTCAACACTCCGTTTTACACTTTGCTTTGCGTTTACGGTTCCACGCCCTCTCCAACGGTGCAGTCAAATCCCCAGTTTTGTAAAGTAAAACGGTGAAAAAGCCACCAAACTTGATAACACGGCAAGCAGGCACGGCCCAGATGCTGGACGGAAGGTTTTGTGGAACTGAACTGAGGTAAAGCAGAAAGATTGATTGGACGATTTTCGAACCCATGCAGAACGTGGCTGCTGCAAGGGCGCAATGTTGATCCAAAACGGACCTTTCTGCATCCGTAACTTGCATGTTGCCATGTTGGAGACATGGGAAACGTAGAGTTTTCGATCCGTCGCCAGAGAACTCGATGTGCATCTATCGCCACCGACCTAGTATCACAGAGAATGGAAACCTGTATCGCTTTTCACTTCTCGATCTACGGTCAAATCCGATGGCGAATAATTATTTGGCAACGAATACAGTTAACCTTGTTCCCAAAGATCAGGGCGAGGCAGTGATGTCCGTTTCGGTGCCGTGTCTCTGCAGCCCCCGGGTGGCGGTTGCATGAAGGGATTCCGTAATTGGACTGTACAGAATAGTGGCCAAATTGAAGGCATTTCCAGGGGCTCTGATGTTGAGGGAATGCCTAGCCACTTTCCAGACGATTGCCCAAAGTGTTGAATGTGTATTTTTTCCCGTCGGCCTGTCTGTGGCCTCTAACGCCCGAGTAAGGCGGTGTCGTTCGAGGTGAGGCATACAGTCATGCGGTGCTGCGTCTGGATCAACTGAGCGACAGAACCAGCCCACTTCCAAGGCCATCGGGGAGTGTAAGAAGATAACGCTCCGCATGAACGAGGACCTAAAGTCTAGTTCACACCGGTGCCCGCGGGAGAGCTAATGGCACGGCGCGCAGTTCGTAGCGAGTTCCCAGTAATTGACGAAAAACACGATATATTGGATCACGTGAGGAGGCTCACGATTCCAGGAGGCAGAAACGGCAGGCATAGCATTAAGGAAAGACCAGAGATGTCCAGTTCTTCCTCGTGGCCTGGTAGAAGGTTCTCGCCGAATAGAATCATGGCAGTAGCAGCTCGGTCGACCTCCTTCCTTCCATCTTTCTTGCATTCGTCGCTGACGCGTTCTTTCCTTCCTCTACAGGTCTTCCATCTACCCCTGTTTCGAGTCACTGACCTAAACAAACCTCTCCTCCAATGAATCTTGCTTGCGAACGACATCAAATCAATATCACACCATACTACCCATTAGATTCAACATCCGATTACGATGTCACTCTTTGCCCTATCCCATCTTGCCAGTCTCGAGTCCGAACGAATAACACGAACGGCAGTGGAATCAACACAAAGTCCTGTCCATACTGGCAACCGGCGGTGCATATACTGCAAAGAACCCACACTCGCGCACCACTGCAACGAGTGTCAATCCAACTGGTTTTGCAGCTCCAAGTGTCAGAGGGCAAAAGCCCACAATATTGATGCTGCCAACTACATGGCCCTTTGCCCCGCGCAGAACAAACGACTGAATACCCACCGTTACCTCGCCGAGTCCCTCAGAGCCGGTACCTGCGAGCCTCCCACTGATCCGCAAACACGACAAGACTTCGGGTTCGATCTTTGCCAATATGGCAATAAACAAGAGGAACGCCTCCTTTGGGCGACATACAAGTGCCTTGGCTGTTTCTTCGACCTCGACAGCGTTGTTATCTAGGGATGGATGATTGCCAGGGGCAAGTCACTACTCGCCGAGATGATCAAGCAGTACTTTGCCGAGGTTCATCTTTTGACCAAAGATGTATACATCTGGTGGTTTCGCCATAATATCTGGGTCATCATACCTGAGGACAGCAGAATGGGATATGCCATGACAGTCCATACCGATCTCGTCCGGGAGTGCGCCAAAATGTCACGGGTGTCCTGTCAGATCCTGAATGGCTGGGACCGAGACCGAGAAAGTTGGTGGACCGGGCACACCATTGACTACATGGAAGCTCGCGTACGAGAAGCCACACGCTCGGTGGAACAAGAAGATCAAGCAATGGACGGGGTCTCGAGCGACACCTTGAGTGTCGGCAATACAAGCGGCGTCTCCCCAAGTAATGATCCCTCGAGTAGTTACGCTACGTCAGGATAACCCAAACGATATTAGTCTCAAGAATGAAATACCCGTGCAAGATGTCTATTAGAAATACTTAAGCGTACAATGGTAAGAGATATCGGCGTGCTCATTTGAAGGACAGACCTCAAGTAATTATGAATAGTAAACAAGTGTTAGAGACTTCCCATAGCGATACAGTTCCCCATGCGTAGGTTTCGTGCATGTATTTCAAAGTCAATTTTTGACAGCTCTCTAAAGGGAAGACACCAATAAAGGTACGCGTAAAGAAGCTGAATCATCTATAACTATCGTTTCTGAGTGCATCTGCAGGCTTTCCGCACTCAACTCTCTGGTTTGCTAACTACTGGCTAACCAATGGACAGCAAACAACCCCAAACACCAACAACACCATGGCTGAAGTTAACCCCGACCAGCCCACCGCCGAGATCCTATTCAAGGTCATTGCCGAGAGAAGACTTGCGACCGACCCACAGACCCTCAAGGACTTCTTCTTCGACCGCTGTATCACCACCAAGGGCCAGGAGAAGCTCCACGCCGTCTATGCCCTCATGGAAGGCATGGACCCGGCCATCCCCCCCCCCCCCCGCTCAGCTTCAGGCCTGAGCCGCTGAAGGTGAACTCGAGCTCGGCAAGCCCATCAGTACCGTCTTCTCCAAGCTCAACCAGAACAATATCTCGGCCGGAATCGTCACCTAGTTCGACTACAACCAGTACATTTGCAACCCCAACGACGTCGACGCGGAGCTCGCCGCACACGCCGAAGAGATCATGGGTGCCCTCGCCGGTCCCGTTGACGACGATGGATACATGGCTCGCATCCCTGTCTTCATGTGGGGTCAGGCTCGCCTCCGCCACAAGAAGGAGGCGCTCGAGGCGAAGGGCGAGTATGTCCGCACCGTTCACGGCACGCGCTTCAGCTCGGTGCCCAACGTGGAGCCAGGGGGACCTCCCGCGGCTGGCCACGCCATCTTCTGCCCTGATGGCTTCAATGGCGTGCCCCTTAGCGAGATCACCCGCGCTATGCAGAATATCCCTGGTGTGGTAAGCTTTTTACTTCCCTACCGGTTCTTGCGGATTTGTTACTGATGTGTATGTGCTGCAGAGAAGATCCATGTCTTTCCCCGCAAGTAAGCCGACATGGCAGAGAGATACACTTGATGGGTCGCCAATTGAGATGGAAACATGGGCGTACACTGATTTGCGGTTGATTGAGATACAGAGAATTGTGCCTCGGCCTTAGCAAGGAGGCTTGTGACAGTTTAGATAGCCTTTGAGAGTTGCCCGTCGAAAACGAATCAATAATACCATTCAGTCACCACAGTCCTTGTTCCTCTGGTGGCTCTTTGCTAGACAGTCACTGTGTACCTTGGACCATCAAAGCTAGCGGCGTTTGTACCAATGAAGGACGAAGTAGCTATTCTGATCAACAATGAATTGATTGAGATCTTGCATGGGACAAGGCTTGAAGGCACCTGTTGCTCTGAAAAAGCTTCGGCCTCAAGAATCTATGTAAGCGCTCCATCCCATCCTCAAGTAGTAAAGATCACCATCCAGAACAAGCACACACACCTACGCGTTGGTACCAACAACAAAACAAACACAGCGCTATATCACACCCAATACCCGATAGAAGCCAACTAACACCGAAAGAAACTTCCAAAAAAGAGCTACACTATGGAGAGCGAGAAGAGCCAGACTTATTCCAACGAAGAGCAAGCCAAGCCCACAACCAGCTTTCTTCGAAGAGCAATGACACTGACTGAACTCCCGCAGACTCCCCAAGACCTGCCCGCCATGCAGATCTGGTTCTTCACTCGTTGCAAGTCCCACGACCAAGCCTTCAATCTCCTCCGCATCTACCAGACCCTCCTCATCGACCTCGACTTCACCCCGCGCGAGATCGAGGACTGGCTGGCGCAGGGCCATCTCGGCCGCAACATCGTGATGCACTTTGAGAATAACCTAGGCGAAATCCCAGAGTACCTGATGATGTGGTTGATGGCGCACATCTGGATCTTTGGTCTCGAGCCCGGTGCCGCGCTGCAGGAGGATGTGCCCGTCTTCAAGTTCTCGGTTGAAGATAAGGAGTTTTTGGGGCAGTTGATGCTCCGCCAGAGTGGGCTGGCATGCGTACCCTGGAGATCGAGTCTGCGATGGAGTGGGAACTTGAGATTATTAGGTCGTTGGCGCGTGTGAGGGCTGTGACGGAGCCGAAGGGATTTCTGGAAATGTGGCTATTGGGTCCGGAGGAGGAGGAGGAGGAGGAGTATCCTTTGACGTGTGAGCGGCGCCTTGAGCCCGATAATTGGAAGAAGTTGTACTCGAGCTGGGAATGGCGGCAGAAGATCGCGGACATGTGGTATCGCTCGCCGCGGAAGGATTGGATGAAGAAATGAGGTGGCGAAGCCAGGTAAGCTTATTTTTCATTGAATTCTATGGATCTGCTTGACGAATTGATACCACGTTGATTCCACCAATGTGCCATGACTTACAGCTACATTGCGCTTGTTGCCAGGGAGGTGATTATCCTTGGCGCAGAGCAGGCGGAGGTGAGCGTACCAAAACTGGCCGCGGGTTGAGGCCTGCGCATTTTTAATGATAGTATAACGAATGGTTGTTTGGCGTCGGGGTCGGCCGCTTTCGAGAGGGCGTTCGATGGAGGGGCAAGGAGGGGCGTTGAGCATAGTGCGTAGGACGTGGTGGGGGTCGATGCCATTGAGGCCGACGCTGAATCTTGTATGCGCTACCAGGTGATTACATACGATTTTTGGTGTTGAATATGATGGCCTTCTCAATTGGCAGTTGTTGCTCGCGGAATCGTGGTGGTCTGGATGACTTGGCGATGAAGTTGATGGGGGGGGGGGGGGGGGCGAAGGAGGGACGCGGAGGGGGGGGGCTTATGTAAGTGAAGCTGTCAATGTCAACCGTGGGAAGGAGCCGGTCCCAACTTCCTTCCTCAAGACTAACATATGGGGGAGAAGATAAGGAAAGAACATAGCAGAGATTTCCAAGGCGCCTTCCATTTAAAAAGCAGTATTCTGTGTCAAGTGCATCGTGATCACTTCAAATTTTGCAAAAGGGAAGAAATCTTATGCCAGGGCCATCTCTATTAACAATACGTCAATATCAGCGGGTGCTGTACTATCAAGGCGACCGGTTCTCTATCTCCAAGCACAACTGTATGGCAAGACCTGCCGCATCCAAACCCAGCCATTACACTTCCGTTTCCAAGCTCAATACGCCATATCGAAGCAAGCATCCGAGGGTATCGCAGAGAACAAGGTGGTGATGGTGTAGGCTTTGTCCCATCAGGTAGCAAAAGGCACTGCAATGGTCAGCTCGAGCTCTCGCCGATGGGGAAGGGTATGATACTCACATCTGTGTAGACTTCATAATGCTAATGTCGAGCAATTGCCCTCATCATATCGAGGGGAATATCTTGCCAGTCTCGTCGAGCATTCAAGAGTACCAGTCAAAGTCGTCACCAGGTCGCTTACGAGCATCGTAGTACTCCTTCAACTCCTTTGCAGCGCGCGCAGCCTTAGCCTCGCTGACAAGATCCTTGGGGTCCCAGATGTACTGGTTCTCAAGGAACCACTTGTAATCACCCTGGTAATCATCCGGACCAAGCAAGATCTCAAACTTGGCCTTGATCTCCGCGGCCACATTCTTCAGACCATCCTCGTGGTGAAGCCACTCGTGGAGCTCCTCAGGCTTGACCTCAAAGTCCTCGAGGACGGTGCGGTAGACGTTGTAGAGCTTGCTCTGGTCGAGGGTGATGTAGCAGCGCGAGAAGCCGTAGTCGGCCTTGACCTGCGCGTTGGTGGGGATCTCGTCGTCCTGGATGGCGGCGAGGAGGTCGTGGGCCGTGGTGCGCTTGGCGTTTTTGTTGCGCTTCGCGGGGGGCTTGTTCTTCTTGACCGCCTTGTTCTTGCTTCCCTTGGGGCGGCCGGGTCCCATGATGGGTTTCTTGCAGGCCGGCTTGGGCTTGCGGGAGGCAGCGGCTGTAGTGGTCTTCTTGGAGGCGGGCTTGCGGGCGGCTGGCTTCTTCTTCTCGGGGGAGGGTTCCTCGGGCGAGGGCTTCGAGGGCTTCGAGTCTGGGAGTTTCTTTCGGGTGGTGCGCTTGGGGGCAGGGTCCTCGGGGATTGTCTCGAGGACGGTGGCGGTGTTGCCCTCCTTGGAGGCCATCTTTGTCAGTCTTTGTTGATACAGGAAAGGTGTGGATAAGTGGTGATTGTTGGAGGTTTGGAAGGAAAGTTGCCAGGAGGAGGATGTGAAGGAAAGTAAGAGGATGGGAAGGCAATGGATTGATGGAAGGGATTAAAAGATCTCTTTGTGGAAGCGGACGGGAATGAGATACTCACCTCAGACGATCAGATCGGTTTGGAGTATCCGGAAGCTTCACCTCAGCTTCAATCGACTAGGCGACTTTTATACTCTGGCAGGTATGTGAAGATTGGCCCGGGATGGGCCCTCACCCCGTGACTTCATAAATACTCCTCGTCCTTATTAACTACCCTTAATGCGAATACGGTCCTGGAATACGATGGAGGTGAAGAGGAGTGTGAAGGGGCGGTGGCTTATATGGGGTATGATGAAGGGGATCCTTCACACCCATGTTAGGACATGCGACGAAGTGCTGCCCATGACGTTCAGACTCTGTTAATTGAACCCTCGAACGCGGCCTAAAAACCCCTCCATTCTGAACATTCAATACCAGAGGAGAACAAGGGTTCAACGCGGTTTAAGAAAGTAGATACATCATGTCTTCATCACTCTATCTCTCTCATTGCGAGAGCTACGCAAAACGATGGGATTCTCTTATGAAAGGCAGTTCCCAAACTCCTACTCCAACAAGCAATACCAAACAAAACACAGACAACCTCACAAGTAACCTCCCTCAAAAGCCAACACCTCACTCCTTCCACCGAACCTCACCATCCGCCCCCTCAGCATCAAACGCCAAAAACGCAATCTTCCTGACCCACCTCTCCTCCCCAAACAACTACCTCCAATTCTCCTTCCTCACACTCCGCTCATGCTTCTGAGGCAAAAACCGCCTCGCCTGCTCCAGCTCAACCTCCATCGCCCACTCAATCTGCGCAACACTATACCGCTCCCACGCCTTCGGCCACCTCCCCTGCAGAAACGCCCGATCGTCCTCGGTGAACTCAAACAAAGGCACATCGTAGTTCTGAATCTCGCCGCACCAGACGTGCTTATGCTGCTTCACCCACTTCCTTCGCTCCTTTGAGATCTTGTCTCCGGCAAAGGCGGTCTCGAGCATGAGGTGCGCGATGCGGTAGCCGAGGGATTTGTTGGATTTCCACTTGTAGAGCTCGTGGGGGGTGACGCCGAGGTCTAGGATGAGGGTGTTGTAGACGCCCAGCAGGGCTTTTGCGTCGTTGAGGGTGCGGCAGCGGGTAAAGTACCAGTCCTTGAGGACGTAGATATCTCTGGGGAGCTCGGTGGACGGGAGCGTGTCGTGGAAGAAGCCTGGCTCGGCGAGGGTGGTGGTTGTCGTTGTCGTTGCGGTCGTGGTTGGCGTGAGTGTGCTGCCCGTAGTATCCATCTCGTCGGTTTATTCTCCTGTTGGTCAAGCTCTTGGGGGTTATTCGAATCTGTAGAGGGAGTGTTTGGTTGCCGGTTTGTTGAAGTTCCTTGCTGGTGTGGCTTATCGAAGGTGATAGTCATTGGTATTGTGGAAAGTTCTGGCTTATGTATTCCATCTCAGACTAAACCAACCTACAGTCAAGGAAACATTGCCATTGTAGCCGTAGACAAACAATGTCGAACACAAGGGATCAAGCAAGAAAGGCCAGATTGACAAAGAAGCTGTCAAAGCTGTTAGCGATAAACCAGATTGAACCAAGTCAAGGTGGTGCTTGTGTCCTCAAAGGCCCGAGGAAGAAAAAGGGCGGCGGCTTGTTGCCCCGAGGGCCATTTATCATCATATTCGTCTACTGCTATGCTGCTGATGCGCATCAAATCGTGTAGCCAACTATCCCACCCAACAAAGTCTAGTAACTCTAGCCGGCTCATTGCAGTGATGCATTCAAGCCATTGGGGTATCTCATGTAATACGATTGCTCAACATTTCCATAAAAGTCTTTTCCTACCGCCATTGCGTCTCCATCCCAACTCCTTCCAAGCGAGTATGACCCGCGAGCCCCCTCACTTTCCTGCGTCGTGCATTGCTCATCATGCTATATCCTTGCTCTCCAGTATCTTGCTTAGCTCCTTCAGCCGCACAGGTTTAGTCAGGAATAGATCGATGCCACTCGCAAACGCTTCTTGCTGTGCATTGGCTGATGCCAATCCCGTAAGCGCGATGATCAGACAGCGTGACAGGCTGTCTTTCGTCTCTATAGCACGAATCCGTCGTGTCGCCTCGAAGCCGTCCATCACAGGCATCGAGATGTCCATCAGAATACAGTGATACTCGCCCGGTGCTTGGCGGAACTCGTCTAACGCTTCTTGCCCGTCTCTTGCGTTCCGATAGTCGTGTCCAAGCCTCGTCATGTACGTTGCCAACATTTTGAGGTTGAGTGGGTTGTCGTCCACCAGGAGAAACTTGGGACGAGATCCTCTCGTCTTCTTTGGTCTGTGAGACAATCGGGGAGTGTCTTGGCCATCGAGCGTTAGCCTCTTGGGATGTTCTTCCGGCGTGTCCGGTAGAGCGACATCCTCAGGCCTTGGCTCCGTTTCTCTCGCCTGCACAGCTTGGTCGTCCACACTCTGCTTTGCTGCGACTTCGGTATTTGGCAACTCCTTCAATCTCTCGGGGAGATCCTCTCCGGTCGGAACGTCTGGAAGGGCTTCGGTGCTTCCCACGTCCGTGAGTCTGTCTTGTGCACACCAAGTCGGCGTGTCGCCGCCCGCGTTGGACGCTTCTGGGCTGGCCAAGGATAACATTGTAGGAGTTGGTATCGCCCGTTCTTGCATTTTCGTCCATCGCTTGAAGCTCAGCAAAAGCACCTTGGCAAGTTTCCTCGGACCGATCCTTGTAGACGAATTCTTAGTTGAAGCCGATCACTGATTCGGAACGTACAAACTTACGGCTGTGAGATGAACTCAAATATGATGCGATTACCGGTGAATCGTGCCGAGGTAGCTAGTTGGCGCGCGATAAGCGCGTTCCGGCATATCACCACGACCGGTGTGTTAATGATGCCTAAGCGGCGCTCCGTCAAAAGCTGCTCTAGTTGCTTTTCTGTAGACAGAACCAAGTCGGGAAGGAGTTGTTGCGAGGGCGGGATGGACTGGTCAATGATTTGCATACGAAGCCATTCCCTGCAGAGGTTTGCGACCAGTGCTCCTTCGCTGGGGGTGTTGCTGGCCAACTCGTCGGGCATTTTGACTCCGTAGTCTTCAGGGAAACCCAACAGTTTGACTC